CTATCCCCAACCTAAGTCAGGTGCGTGCCAGCGGCAACCAGTCATTCATTGTATCTTTCTCACATCAATGTTTCTCTCTCTCCCTCCATTCAATTCTGTCTAAAAAGCAATGGAAAAATGTCCTCTGGTGAGAATTAACAAAACAAAACAAAAAAACAACTGGTGACTTAATGATATTTATAAATTTGAAAATAAACCTAGAGTAACTAAGGTTAGAGACTTTGTTCTTCTCTGAAGTAAATATGCATAATTATTGCAAAGAATAAAAATGCCATTGAAGTAGTAAATAAGATAACTTTAAAGTATTATTCAAATTGAATTTTCACATCACACAAACAAATTTTTAATTATCATCTAATATGTCTACCTCTATGCTAATGGCCAGAACTTCAGAATTCTCTTAGTGTCTTAATGAAGGTTCTGGTAATCTTGTGATAGGTCACTAACCAATTGTACTACCCATAAATAGGACAGAATTCTAAGTGTCTCGAATACTGAATGAGGCAAACATGAAATTGTTTAGCTTCAGTTTTTATCTTCATATTAGCACAGATTTTCAGTTAAAGTAAAGCTTTGTTCTATTTATTCAGTTAATTTCAGTCTTCAAAATGTTATATGAGGGTAGTCACAAGGAGAAAGGATTATAATAGCTTAGGTTACATTCTAATGAAAAAGTCTAATTGTACCACAAAGATTTTTTATGGGTCTGATTTCTGTAATTCTATCTCTAGAATTTCTACAGAGTGATAAGCCATGAGTACAGAGAACTTTTTATGCTTTAAGCCATATCCTTTATTTGCTTTCTTTTAATGAATAATTTTCATATTTAAGATAGCCCATGTAGTGGAATAACTTTGGACTTTTTTTTTTTAATATTTTATTGATTTCTACAGAGAGGAAGGGAGAGGGATAGAGAGCCAGAAACATCAATGAGAGAGAAACATCGATCAGCTGCCTCCTGCACACCCCCCACTGGGGATGTGCCCGCAACCAAGGTACATGCCCTTGACCGGAATCGAACCTGGGACCCTTCAGTCCGCGGGCAGACGCTCCATCCACTGAGCCAAACCGGTCAGGGCTGGACTTTTTAATTTTTTTATTATTAGTTAAGGTATTACAAATGTGTCCACATCCCCCCCATTAACCCCCAAACTCCCCCCCACACACAAACTCATGCTCCCATCCCCCTGTTGTCCATGTCCATTGGTTTGGCTTATATACATGTATACAAGTCCTTCGGTTGATCTCTTCCCCTTACCCGCGCCCTCCCCTACTTTCCTTCTGGGGATTGATAGCCTGATCGCTGTTTCTCAGTCTTTGGGTCTGTCCCTTTTCATCAGTCTATGTTGTTCTCTATAATCCACAAATGAGTGAGATCATGTGGTATTTATCTTTCTCTGACTGGCTTATTTCACTTAGCATAATGCTCTCCAGTTCCATCCATGCTGTTGCAAAAGGCAAGAGTTCCTTTTGTTTTTACCGCAGGGGCTGGACTTTTTTAAAAGTTAAACAATTCTTATGAATCTAGGGAAAACTACAGTTCCCAAAGAACATAAGTATTAGGATAAAGAAGATCTCTGGGTTATAATTAATCATTGAGACATATCGAAACTGTATGTTATTCATGTTATGGTATTTACTTCAATAAATTAACTGTTAAATACAGGGTTTGATTTTTACCTTCAACATCACCAGACATTTCTTATAGAAAAGAGGGAGAAAATTAAGGGTAATTGCTGAACTATATTGACACTTTATTATCTTGTTAATCCTCACCAGAGGATATTTTTTTCCATTGATTTTTAGAGAGGGTGGAAGGGAGGGGGAGAGACAGAGAGAGAAAAATTGATGTGAGACAGACACATTGATTGGTTTCCTCCTGCATGAAACCCAACCAGGGCCAGGTATCGAGCCTGCAATCTAGGTACATGCCCTTGGCCTGCAACGGACCCTTTGTCTATAGGCCAACATTCTATCTACTGAGCCAAACCGGGGTAGGACTATACTGACACTTTAGTTTCTTTTCATGTAGCATATTTAAACAAAGTAATTAAAATATCTAAACTATTAAAGAGGGAAACTGGTTAATTACAAAATATTAAGGGGAAAATACAGGTGAATAATTGGAACAAGTCAGCAAAGTTATTGCTTTGAGTTGTTACCAAAGCAAGATAAAATTATTTAGATGAAGTAGTACCAACTTTACAATGTAATTTGAAAAATACCAAAATCCATGAAACACCCTTATAAACATTAAAAATACTACGTTACATCATCCTTAATAGGAGGTAGTGCATTATAATTAGCAATCTTCGTAAGTCCTGCTGAAAATAAGAGGGAGCAGCTGCTACTGCCCAAGGTGATATACTAAGGTCAGTTTCATCAGTTACTTGATTCCTTTCGAATGCCTTTTCTATTAGTGGCAGTGTAAGAAATTATTACCCACTTATCAAACTAGGCTGTTTCTGAAATTGGGCTAAAAGGAACTATTGATTACTAGCATTATTTTTCTAACTTTAAATATATATATATATATATATATATTGCTCTTTTTCCCCATGTTTTTATAGATGGAAAGAGTTTACCCATTCTGGAAAGTGAAAATATAGTTTTTTGTTATATTTTCAAGTTCCACCTTATAAAGAGAGCTTTTTTGTTTAAGTCAGGCGTACTACTGCTGTTTGTTTTGAGTCTATAATCTGTTGCAAAACTACTTAATTTTAAAAAGAATATCCCCCACAATGATATACACTGAGTGGCCAGATTATTATGACCAGCCAGATTATTATGACCACCCCATCAGTACAATGAAGTTAATTAGTTATGCAAATAATACTAATAACAAAACCTTGAGAGTATTTGCTTAGGAAGTTTTTAATACTCAGTATTTTTGGAGTGTCAATTAAATACTGATGGGGTGGTCATAATAATCTGGCCACTCAGTGTATATAAAATTATCACCTTAAATATATGCAATTTTCATTCTTCAATCATACCTCAATAAAACTTGGTGGGGGGGGACATATCCCTAAAGTGGAAACCTAATATAAAATTGGCTTTGACAATCAGATGATTTGTACATTTTACCACCTGTGTAATGGTTTTAACACTAATCAGGGAGTATGTCAACTTCTTTAGGTAAATTCCTAATTGCCTTTTGTGATGAAGATCTATAAACACCAAAAATTCAATTAAAATTGAATTATTTTTATGATTGTCATGGTTTTTCATTAGATCAAAACTGACTAAGAACAGTCATTAAACTGCCTCCTACAGCTTCATCTGCTAAAATACTTGCTTTATAATAATCACATATTGAAAGATGTTGTCTTTTCAGATGGCCAAGTCATGAAAATGTCAGTGAGATAAGAAGAATGACTTACAAGTTGCTCAAATGCACTTCCTTATTAATTCCAGGAATATTTAAAACTTACTACAGACTTTCCCTTACAACTTTGCTTCTTAAAAACAAAACCTTTTACAAAGAGCTCATTATACACATTAAAAGTTCACAGATAGCTTGTTATTGGACCAATTGCCCAGGAAAATTAAGATTTAAATTTTTTTGCTTTTATTTATTTTTAATTTAAATTCTTTATTGTTGAAAGTATTACATGTCTTCTTTTCCCCCATTGACCTCTCCCCCATCCGCTCCCACCCCCCAGCACATGCCCTCACCCCCTTACTGTCTGTGTCCATTGGTTATGCTTATATGCAAGCATACAAGTCCCCCAGCCACCCTCCCCACCTTCTGAGGTTTGATGCTGTTCGATGCTTCTATGTTTCTGGATCTAACTTTTTTATTAATTTTTAGAAAGAGGAAGAGAGAGAGGAACATCGATTTGTTGTTCTACTTACTTTTGCATTCATTGGTTGAGTCTTGTATGTCCCCTGATCCAGGATGGTACCTGCAACCTTGGCTCATCAGTACAATGCCCTAACCAGCGGTTCTCAACCTGTGGGTCGCGACCCCTTTGGCGGTCGAACAACCCTTTCGCAGGGGTCACCTAAGACCATCCTGCATATCAGATATTTACATTACGATTCATAGCAGTAGCAATATTACAGTTATGAAGTAGCAATGAAAATAATTTTATGGTTGGGTCACAACATGAGGAACTGTATTTAAAGGGCCAGAAGGTTGAGAACCACTGCTTTATTTCATTTTTTTTTTTTTTAACCCTCACCCGAAGATATTTTTCCACTGATTTTTAGGGAGAGTGGAAGAGAGAGGAAAACACACAGAGAGAAACATCAATGTGAGAAAGACACCTTGATTGGTTGCCTCCTGCTAGTGCCATGACTAGGGTCCTGGTAGGGGAGAAGCCTGCGACCAAGGTGCATGCCCTTGACCAGATCCAACCCAGGATCCTTTGGTCCGCAGGCACTGAGCCAAGCCACCTAGGGCGAGGCTAACACTCTTTAAAGCACTTTAAGAAATGTATTATCGCTTACCTATGGAGTGATTTTTTTTTTCTTTTTTTTTGGAGGGGGCACCCGGATTTGAACCGGGGACCTCTTGGCCTATGGAGTGATTTTTATTGTATTGGTTTACCCATATTTCCTAAGTTACCTGCAATGAACACTTAAAAAAAAAAATCTCACCTGAGAATTGTTTATTGATTTTAGAGCGAGAGAAACACTGATGTAAGAGAAACATCTATGGTGTTGCCTTCCATACGAGCCCTTCGGGGGGTAATCAACCCCCAAGCTCTGTGCCCTCCCATTCAGCAACCTTTTGGTGTATGGGAGGCTGCTCCAACCAGCTGAGCCACTCCAGCCACTGCAATGAGCACCATTCTCAAAGAAATGGTACTGTTCAAAACAAAAATACCCTGGTAGAACCTACGAAGATACCAAACAGTGAAATCGAAGAATTGAGAGACTACAGAGAGGAAAAACAAACATGGAAGATGGAGACCGCTGGGAGATATAGGGCGCGGAAGGCTCCAGGCCGCCCGCTGCTTCCGGGCCGCCGTACTCTTCCGCTCCCAGAGGGCCCTGCGGCGGAAATGGTCATTCTCCGAGGCAAGCAGCCCACGCCGCGCACCGGTGGGATCCTCGCCATGGCGATGGGGGGCGGAGGTGGCGGCGGCGTCCCGGAGCAGGAGGACTCGGTGCTGTTCCGGCGCGGCGCCGGCCAGGTGAGGGCGCGGCCGGCTCTGCCTCCCGCAGGCGCCCGTGCGGGCTCCTCGCGCCCATCGCCGGCCCCTGCGCTGCGTCCCCAGCCGCGCGCGGGGCAGGACCTGGCCAGTCCGTTCACTGCAGGACGGTGGTCCGCCTAGTCGTTTCTGCAGATTGTCCCGTTTGGGAACCTCAGCAGCCAGCTCCTCCCCTGCGCAGCTTGGGCGCCTCGATGGCTTTGAGCCGAGGCCCTCCCGCAACTTACTCGTACTTTGGTTTGTCCGTTCCGACTGGGGGCTGTGAGCGGAGCGGGCCTGGCGAGGCGGGGGACCCGGTGGGAGTCTGTTAAAACGATCCAGACTCAGATCAGGGTGTCGGCGGAGGAGAACAGACTGCTTGGACTCTAGGTATATTTTGGGACCAGAGGCAACAGGTGTCGCGTACGGACCCAGTCGTGGAGATTTGAGAGAGGAAAGTCAAGGCTAACTTCAAGATTGTCCTGAAAAGATGAAGTTAGTCGCCTTTACGGATGAGCTGAGATGGGGAAGACTGAAAGTAGAGCAGGTGTATAAAGGTGAAGGTCAGAAATTCATTTTGAGTGAAATAGTGGCGATGAAATCTGGTTGAGGGTGAGTCCAGGCGTGGGAGAAGAGAGATTCAAGGCAACGTTTGTGAACAAATAGTTGAGTTTTATTGTAAATAGAAAGTATAGAAATTGGCCAATAGTTGGAGGGGGAAATGGGATAAAGAGGATTATTAATTTTTTTATGTTTTGTTTTGTTTTTAAGATGGGAGAAGCAGATTTCAGTATGTTTGTGGGCTGATAGGAAAGATCCGGTAAGGATGGAAACATTGAGGGTGCAGGAGAGAACCGCTGAAGTAGTGCTTCAGAGTAGGAAAGAGGGAATGGATTTGGCCTCTGCTGGGAACATTGACAGTTAACGTGGTCACAGTTATATGGGTACAGATCTGGAACTTTTCTTTGGATCGTTGCTGTTCTGTCAGTAAAAGAAGTGTCAGCCAGGAGTGAGGACAGGGCAGATGCTGGGGGTTTGAGCGGGAGAAGGTGGAAAGTAGGCCTCTAGGAGAGTGGATGAGTGTTGGAGTAAGGAAATGTCATGGCAATGTTCCGAGGTAACATTAAAGGTCTACTTGAGATTAGCGATCGTGAATTTAAAGACTAGACAGCATGACTGTGTTTTTCACCAGCTCATTCACTTCAAGTTTGTGAGGGCAGGCACAGAGTGAGCTGGTGGTTGAAGTGAATAGGGTTGTGCAGCCACAGCTCGTTCTATTGCACTTCACTTCATTGGCTTCACAGGTATGTGAGTTCTACAGACTGAAGGCAAGACCCTCCTCCTACAACAGCGTTGCGGCTTGTCTTATTGCAATGCTCACTTTATTAGGGTGGTCTGGAACCAGACCCACCATATCTCTGAGGTATGCCTATAGTTGATACCAAGTGAGCATGAGGAAGTAAGAGAGAGGGGTACGAGGGAATTATCTTAATGGTTGACTATGAAATTTAAGCTAAGAAAGGATATGAGGATATTAGGACAGTGAGAGGTAGTTTGAAAAGTGAGAGGATCAGTGTTTTGCTATTCCCAGTGAAGTGGAATGATTGTCAACTATTAGAAGGAATAAGCTGTATAGATCCTGGAAGGTGGTGGTTGGAGAATAGGATTTATGGAGAGGTTGTAGTTTCTGGTTATAATATTACTAGAGGCCCGATGCATGAAATTCGTGCCAGAGTAGGCCTTCCTTCTCCCGGCTGCCGGCTTCCCTCCGGACCTGGGCTTCGTCCGGAAGGTCATCCTACTGGTGGTGACTGAGAAACAAATATAAAGGCAGCCCTAGTGGTCTGTTTTGGTTACTGTGTAACAAATTACTCAAAACTTAGTAGCTTGAAAATAATCATTTTATTATTTCTCATAGTTTCTGTGGGTTAGGAATTTGTGAAGGCCTTGCTGAGTATTTCCCCTTGAGAACTTTCATGTGGTTGCATCCACGTAGTGGCTGAAGCTACAATAGCTGAGTCCCTGCAGCTAGGGACTGGCTGGCCATATCTTTTCTTATAGCCTCAGGGCTTCTATATGTGATCTCGGTATTGGGCTGGTTTGAATTTCCTTATGTCCCTTTATAGTTCTCTATCATCTCTCATCTCCTGTCCCCAGACAACTGCTGATCTACTTTCTGTCACCATAGGTTAGCTTGCATTTTCTAATGTTTATTCTATGTTTATTCATTTACTGTTCATGAGTATTGGGTTGTTCTCAGTTTGGGGCTGTTACAAATAGACCTGCAATGACTACTAGCTTAGAAAACTTATGTGAACATGTGCTTTCATTTCTCTTGGGTAAATACCTGGGTCCATTATTTTAACTCCAAGAAACTGTCAAACTTTTCAAAGTGGTTGTACATTTCAACTAGCAATGTGTGAACGTGTCATTTGCTTCACCTCATTGCTAACACTTGGTATGGTCAGCCTTGTGCGAATTGTAAACATTCTAATAGATGTGTGGTAGCATCTTGTGGTTTTAATTAGCATTCTCTGATGACTGATGATGTTGATCATCATTTTATGTGTTTATTTGCCATCTATATATCTTATTTGGTAAAGTGTCTGTTCAGATGTTTTGCTCATTTTTGAATTGGTTTGTTTGCTTTGCTTTTTTAAATATATTTTATTGATTTTTTTTTTTTTTTTTTTTTACAGAGAGGAAGGGAGAGGGATAGAGAGTTAGAAACATCGATGAGAGAGAAACATCAATCAACTGCCTCCTGCACACTTCCTACTGGGGATGTGCCCACAACCAAGGTACATGCCTTTGACCAGACTCGAACCTGGGACCTTTCAGTCTGCAGGCCGATGCTCTATCCACTTAGCTAAACCGGTTAGGGCTGTTTGCTTTGCTTTGTTGAAGTTTGAGAGTTCTTCATATATGCTATATATAAAACCTTTATTAGATAGGTAATTTGCAAATGTTTTATCCCAGTTTGTGGCTTGGTTTTTCAGTCTCTTAACTGTTTTTTTAGCCCTGGCTGGTTTGGCTCATTGGATGGAGCTTCTGGCCTTGAATTTCCTCTCAATTATGGGTTGCTGCCCCAGGATTGGGGTTTATCGTGAGATAAACCTACCTGCTTTGATGTTGTTGTTTTTTCTCATTTGCCCAATGTGTAGGAGTTGCTCAACTAATTTTTAGATTTTTTCAGAGGGAATTGTTTCAGACAGCTGTAAATTTATTGTGTTGGTGGGAGGAGGTGAGTTCAGAATCTTCTGTATCTTCATCTTGAAATGAGAAAATCCATTTCTTTCCATTTAAAACATTGTTTGTACTTCACATTTAAGTATTTTATTATATTTGTTTTATATTCTTTTTTGTTTTGTGTTTTAAATCCATGATTAGAATGTCTGTCTTGGGAGCAGGTAGCATGATTTCATATACTTCTCAATGATGAGTGCTTAGTAGCTAGTGGGTGCTCAAAAACATTTTTTAATTGAATTAAGTTTAAGTTCTACTAAGTATTCATTAAATTTAAATTCAAAAATAGAAATAAGCTTTAGGTCTTTTCCAGATTACTTAATATATTTTTTCCCACTAAAACGAGGCCCTTTATCTTATACTACTTGGTTGGCCAAACTACACCCTTTATCTGCTCTTAGAAAAGATTGAAATGTGAGTTATTCTTGAACAGATCCACTTGTGGTTGGTAGATAGGGGTTAAATTGTAGAGCATTCACTTCATGGCACACCTCTTAGAACATTTACATATGTTTCGCTTTGGGGATAATGCTACAAAATCTCTAAGCAGGTAGGTTTCTTGTGGTTATAGTTAGGATTTAAAGTACCCATTTTTTAGTTTAATTTTATGTTTGGATTAGATGGCTCTTGGCATACTTTTTTTATGAAACCTATCCAAACATGAATTGTTTTTATTCTTTATCCTTCCTAGAGTGATGATTCTGACATTTGGGATGATACAGCACTGATAAAAGCATATGATAAAGCTGTGGCTTCATTTAAGGTATGAAATGTTTACATTTTTGCTTAGGTCCTCATGTTAGTCACTTGGGAAAATTAATTGACAACATTTACAGTAAAGTATTAAAGTACGTATTATTTAGTTCTAATTTTGAAGATTAAAAGATAACATTGGTTAGTTAAATTAGATATTTTCCTTTAGAAGTTGGTAGGTAGCCTGTCTGTATGTGATACTTTTAAGAGGAGATTTAATTGGAATTTTAAACATTTGTTGCTTTTAATGTGTTTACATTGCATAAACCTATGGAAGTTATCTAATTCAGATTACTGGAAGGATAGTTGAATTTTAATTTTTAAACATTTAACAAGTCTTTATTGAAATAATGGTGATAAATAGCAGTAGTGCAGTAATTAATACTTGTAGAGTGTATACAGTGTTTTAGGCACTTTTCTAACTGCTTTACATATGTTAAATTAACGTAATCTCCCCCAAATCCAATTAGTTGGGTTTCAAATCAGGTTTTCTTGATGGTTGGAATGTACAGTTCTTTGGGGAGTGTAGTCTGTTTTGTGGCCCACACAAGACATTTACACAGTTGTCCAACATCATCACTTGACTCACAGTCTCAGATATTTGGTCTTATTGAGCACCGTATGTGAGCCCTCTTAGTTCAGGCACAGCATAGGCTCATACAGAACACCAAGAATAGAGTCCACTTCCTTCATGTAGTCATTCCTGTACCATAAGGTAGAAAGATCAAACCTGTGTGTCATCCTTGAAGCTGAATTCTAAATTTGTCAATAGCATGCTTTCCAGTATGCACTTAAACTAGAAGTACACTAACTTAGGGTTACCATGACAGTTCAGTAAAGTGCAGATTAAAATGGGGCTCAAAGCCAACATCAGCTGAGGTGTCTCACTTGGGGGTGAGGGATCTACTTTCACGATGGTTCATTCACATGGTTAGTGTTGCCTTCTGCTAAGGGCTTAGCCAGGGCAGTGTGCTGGGGGCCTCTGTTCTTCTCTAAACAAGTTTCTTCACTGACAAAGGGGTCTTTAGAGCTGACTATCAGATATATGATGCCTTTGAGAGCAGTTTCTGTAGCATGTGAGATGGTGGAAATAGGAAGTAGAGGCTGTCTGAGGTTTATAATAACTGAATCGTGACTTTTTCTGTATCATTTTGTAACATGCACATTTTTATTCTTATTTTCATAGCACGCTCTAAAGAATGGTGACATTTCTGAAGCTTCAAATAAACCAAAAGGCACCCCTAAAAGAAAACCTGCTAAGAAGAATAAAAGCCAAAAAAAGAACACCACAACTCCCTTGAAGCAGGTTATTTTTAAAATATTGAGATTTAACTTCAAAGATTTTCTTCATACCATTCTTATTAAATAGTGTAAAATACCTTTAACTTAAGTGATTAGTTCAGTGTTTTCCATTGGCATGTAATTATAACATTTCTAAAACTATTAAACTTTCTATTGTTTAGGAACATGCCTGTCAATAAAGGTGTAAGGACTTAGGTGGGACTGATTAATACTAAATTCAGTACAATGTTTACTTTATATGGGAAGGAAAGGGAGTAAGGCAGTGCTATTTGAGAGCAGTACCTGAGGGCCTGGAACTGAATTGGCAGTGTTTTACTTTTTAAACTGAGAGGTGGCCAGCCTTTTTTCCCCTTCAAAAATCCTAAACCTGTTAATACTCAGAAACCTAAAATTCTAGATAGAGTTTTTTCTGCTATTTAAAACAGTAGACCTGGAAGCTAAATATTTTAGTGTCTCATTAGTCACTTTAGTTTCATCATTACCAAGGGGAAGAGAACTAATATGTGTTAAGCATTTGCTGTATGTCAGCCCAGAGATGCTGGACACTTCACACATTCCCTCTTTTCTATTCTTCACAACAAATAAATGAGGTGAGGTAGGTTATATTATGTCCACTTAACAGATCAGGAAAATAATATTCAAAGAGGTTAAAAAACTTGCCCATGATTATAAAAATGGCAGAATTTATATTATATGACAGAATTATATTATATTTATATTGGAGTTCACATTTATGTGTTTTGGGCTCTAAATCTTTTTCACTGTTTCATTCTGCCTTCCAGATTAGTTAACTGGATACTACCCCCATCCCCCATCCAATCCCACCCAAACAAGAAAATAGTTTACCCTCTTTGAAAGAAATGTGTTTATGTGTATGTGTGTCTTTTTTTGTTTTTGTAGTGGAAAGTTGGTGACAAATGTTCAGCCATTTGGTCAGAAGATGGCTGCATTTACCCAGCTACCATTGCTTCAGTTGATTTTAAGAGAGAAACCTGTGTTGTGGTTTACACTGGATATGGAAATAGAGAGCAGCAAAATCTGTCTGATCTACTTTCCCCAACGACTGATGTAGCTAATAATATAGAACAGAATGCTCAGGAGGTAAGGATACAAAAAATAAAGTTCTTGAAAGTAGAGACGAGATGAGAAACTACGTGATATAACAACTTGTCAGTTTGATCCACTGAGGCATTAAATTTTTCTTAATGAAACCTATATAACAACAATACATATATTTTTTCTTTTTAAAGAATGAAAATGAAAGTCAAATTTCAACAGATGAAAGTGAGAACTCCTCCAGGTCTCGTGGAAATAAACCAAATAACATCAAGTCAAGAGCTGCTCCATGGAACTATTTTCTCCCTCCACCACCCCCCATGCCAAGATCAGGACTGGGACCAGGAAAGGTAATTTTTACACAGAAAAGGTTTCCCAGAAAATCTATAGTAATAGAAGGGTAATATGCTAATTAGACCAGACATCCTTCTGGACAGAGCCATGGTGGCAGGGCCGAGGCAGAGGCGGTTAGGGGTGATCAGGCTAGCAGGGGAGAGCAGTTAGGGGGATCAGGCTGGCGGGGGAGGGCAGTTAGGGGGATCAGGCAGACAGGGGAGAGCAGTTAGGGATCAGGCTGCCAGGCAGGCAAGCGGTTAGGAGCCAGCGGTCCCGGATTGCGAGAGGGATGTCCGACTGCCAGTTTAGCAGGGATCGGTCCTAAACCAGCAGTCGGACATCCCCCGAGGAGTCCCAGATTGGAGAGGGTGTAGGCCAGGTTGAGGAACCCCCGCCCCCACACACAAATTTCGTGAACCGGGCCTCTAGTAGTTAATATTGAAACATTCAACACATTTTCAAACCTTCCATTAGGAGCATTGTAGATTTTCCCATGAAACTTGTGGCTTTCTGTAGGTATTATAAATACACACTTGAGAATTCTTCAGAGAGGAAATATGATAGTAATGCAGAATACTTTATAATGAAAAGCTTTTCCAACTACTTTTATGGAGTATTAGGTATTAGATCAGCCATGGGCAAACTACAGCCCGCTTGAAATGAATAAAACTAAAAAAAAAAAAAGACCGTACCCTTTTATGTAATGATGTTTACTTTGAATTTATATTAGTTCACACAAACACTCCATCCATGCTTTTGTTCCGGCCCTCCGGTCCAGTTTAAGAACCCATTGTGGCCCTCGAGTCAAAAAGTTTGCCCACCCCTGTATTAGACTAATAATGTAGTAAACGTAAGTTAGAAAGTATATTTTATCAGCTGACTATCCTCATAGTTCCCCAAGTCACTTGGATAAAATATGTAAAAATTGGAAGAGAATACAGTATTTACATCTAATACAGGTAAAATCCTAAGGAGCTCCCAAACTGTTATAGAGTAAATATTGTTTTCCTTAATGCTTCTTTTGGTTATAAATAACAAATAAACTTTAAAAAAGATTTATATTTTAGGTTACATTGTAGAACCCAAGTATGTCCCTATTTGTTTTGTATAAAGCAATGATTTCTTTGGAGGTTATGGTATTGAGGAAATAATAAATTTTTAAAATAAAGATATCAAGCATGATTTATTAAAACGGTCCTTAACATTTTCTTCAAGATCTCTCTCTTTTTTTAATCCTCACTTAAGGCATGAGAATATCTTTTCCATTGATTTCTAGAAAGAATGGAAAGGAGCGGTGAGGGAGAGAGAGAGAGAGAGAGAGAGAGAGAGAGAGAGAGAGAGAGAGAGAGAGAGATTGATGCAAGAGAGAGACACATCTGCACCAGGTACATGCTCTTGACCAGGAATCAAACCTGAGACCCTCTGGCGCTTGGGCTGATGCTCTAACTACTGAACCAGGGTTGCAAGGCTTTTCTTGAGATTTACATTATATTACAGTTTCTAGAATGATCAAATCAATTTATGTGTATGTCTGTATATATGTATGTGTATCTCATACTTTGGTCTTAGGGGCCTGATTTTTCTTGTTAAATGAGAGTTTACTAATTTTTACAATATATGCTCTAAGTTAGCATATGTAACTACTAAAAGGACATCAATAAAAAGATTATACAATCTAGATAATGAAATTATGGGATATATTGTTTCATGATTGAAATATCTTGCTAAAAACACTATCTCTTGATTTATAAGGTAATTAAAATATTTTCTTACTTTGATTTTACTCCCTGAATCTCTATAGAAAGGAAATGAGAAAAATCTAGATTAATGAGTCTATTTGATTTCAGCATTTGGTACATGCAATTCTATTTAATCTTTTTTATTTTTTATTTAAATTCTTTTGACATTAAATATTTTTTCCTCTTTTCATATTGAAGTTGGTAAATTAATCTTCCTTTGAAATACTTTTGCAGCCAGGTCTAAAATTTAATGGCCCACCACCACCACCACCACCACCTCCACCTCCACCACCTCCCTTCCTATCATGCTGGCTGCCTCCGTTTCCTTCTGGACCACCAGTAAGTACAAAACAATTCAGATGAAACTTTGCTTTCATACATAGGTTCTAATGGGTAAAAATTTGAACCAAGCCTCGGGTTTTTTTTGTTTGTTTTCATCCTCACCCAAGGATATATTTAATGATTTTGAGAGAAAGTGAGAGAGACAGACAGAAACATAGATGTGAGAGAGAAACATTGATTGGTTGTCTCCCATATGCCCTCGGACCAGGGATCAAACCTGAAACCTAGAAATTAAGTGTGCAACCTTTTTAAAAAAACATTTTTACTGATTTCAGAGAGGAAGGGCGAGGGAAAGAGAGATAGAAACATCAATGATGAGAGAGAATCGATTGGCTGCCTCCTGCATGCCCCCTACTGGGGATTGAGCCCGCAACCTGGGCATGTGCCCTTGACTAGAATCAAACCCAGGACCCTTCAGTCTGCAGGCCAATGCTCTATCCATTGAGTCAAACCAGCTAGGGCAAGTCTGCAGCCTTTTTTTTTTTTTTCAGTGTATGGGACGATGTTCCAACCAACAGAGCCACCTGGCCAGGATGGGATTTTTTTTGTGTTTTTTGGGTGTTTTTTTTTTAATTTTTAATGCCCTTCTCTACCAGACTCATTCATTCTTCTTATTGCCTGCATCCTTCCTGGTAGAAATTGTATCCCTTATTCTATAGGGAGGTAGTTCGTATTTGAAAGAATTTAAGTATACTGCATACAGGGACTTATGTGTTGCCTTTCCAGGTGTGCTTGGATGTTAGCTTGTGATCAAGTAGACTATTTGGATATCTACTGGTAGACTTTTAGATAACAACAGTAACCTAGATACAAAGATACTTTTGGCCAACTGTGTGTGTTGGGGTGGGAGCAGTGCAGATGTTCACCCAACACCTTTATTTGAAATACTGTTAGGGTGTTTTTTAAGGAAAACCATCAAAGTATTTATGCTTGGTCTTTTACCCATAGTTTCATAAAGGAACAGAAAAATATATCTAATCAAACCAAGATGTTTAAACATTTTATGTGACCTATTTTTTTTTTATTGTTGTTCAGTTTAATTTTGTTGTTGTTACTGGTTGACTTTCTTCAAATGTCAGATTAAAAATAATTTTAATAGATAACATGGAATTTAGGGAAAGACACAGTTAACATCCAGCATTGTCTCTATAAAATGGATCTCCAGACTTCACATTTTTGTTTACTGACTTTAAAGTATATTTTTCTTCATTTCCAGATAATTCCCCCACCTCCTCCCATATGTCCAGATTCTCTTGACGATGCTGATGCTTTGGGAAGTATGTTAATCTCTTGGTACATGAGTGGCTATCACACTGGTTACTATATGGTAAGTGATCATTCAACATCTTTTCCTGACACTTTGTGGTTGTGACTTTGTTGTGTTTGTGACTAAAAAGGTGATTTGTTACATTAGCCAGATCCTAAGGGTTTAACACTACCTTAAAGTTGAAAAAATACAACTATTTGCCTAAGGCTTAAATTATTCTTCTGTTGTCCCCATTTAATGTAATTATAGTGCAATTAAAAATCTTCCATGTGCCCAGCCATTGTTGCTCAGTGATTGAGTATTGACCTTTGAACCAGGAGGTCACAGTTCAATTCCCAGTCAGAGTACATGCCTGGTTTTCGGGCTCAATCCCCAGTGGGGGACATGCAGTGATCAATGATTCTCTCTCATCATTGATGTTTCTATCTCTCTCTCTTCCTCTCTGAAATCAATTAAAAATATATTTAAATACATATATATTTTAAAATCTTTCATGTTATTACATTATTTTGATTATACATTTTCTTTTTCTTTTTTTTTTAATTAAATCTTTATTGTTCAGATTATTACATTTGTTCCTCTTTTTCCCCCCCATAACTCCCCTCCTCCCAGTTCCCGCCCCACCCTCCGCCCTCACTCCCCACCCACTGTCCTCATCCATAGGTGCACGATTTTTGTCCAGTCTCTTCCCGCATCTCCCACACCCCTTTCCCCCCGAAGAATAGTCAGTCCATTCCCTTTCTATGTCCCTGATTCTATTATAATCACCAGTTCATTCTGTTCATCAGATTATTTATTCACTTGATTCTTAGATTCACTTGTTGATAGATGCATATTTGTTGTTCATAATTTGTATCTTTACCTTTTTCTTCCTCTTCGTCTTCTTAAAGGATACCTTTCAGCATTTCATATAATCCTGGTTTGGTGGTGATGAACTCCTTTAGCTTTTCCTTATCTGTGAAGCTCTTTATCTGACCTTCAATTCTGAATGATAGCTTTGCTGGATAAAGTAATCTTGGTTGTAGGTTCTTGGTATTTATCACTTTGAATATTTCTTGCCACTCCCTTCTGGCCTGCAAAGTTTCTGTTGAGAAATCAGCTGACAGTCGTGTGGGTATTCCCTTGTAGGTAACTGAGTTTCTTTCTCTTGCTGCTTTTAAGATTCTCTCTTTATCTTTTGCTCTTGGCATTTTAATTATGATGTGTCTTGGTGTGGTCCTCTTTGGATTCCTTTTGTTTGGGGTTCTCCGCGCTTCTTGGACCTGTAAGTCCATTTCTTTCACCAGGTAGGGGAAGTTTTCTGTCATTATTTCTTCAACTAGGTTTTCAATATCTTGCTCTCTCTCTTCTTCTGGCACCCCTATAATTCTGATGTTGGTACGCTTGAAGCTGTCCCAGAGGCTCCTTACACTATCCTCGCATTTTTGGATTCTTTTTTCATTCTGCCCCTCCGGTTGGGTGTTTTTTGCTTCCTCGCATTTCAAATCATTGACTTGATTCTTGCGCTCCTCTGGTCTTCTGTCGGGAGTCTGTATAATATTCGTTATTTCAGTCCGTGTATGCTTAATTTCTAGTTGGTTCCCCATCATAACATGGAGGGTCTCATTAGTTTTCTTGTAGATCTCATTAAGTTTATCGGCGGCTTCTAAACAGTTCTTGAGAGACCTTAAAAGTGTGGTTCTGAACTCTATATCTTCCATTGACAATTTTGTCCTGTTTCTTTGTCTCCACATTTTGTTATGCTTCCTTGGTGCACCCCCTAGTGGTCTTTGTGCGCAGTCTTATAGTTAAAACCTTGATTGTTGTAGCTAATACCAGGGAGGGTTTGACCTCCAGGCCAAGTGGCTGTGAGAATCAGCTGTGTCTGCAGTGAGAGAACTTCTGTCCTCTAGGGAGGTGCTAATCTAGCCTTTGCCTGAGGCTATCCGGCAAATGCCTCTGTGCAGGGCTTGGGCGGGGCAGTATCTGGAGCTCCGAGTCTGCGACTCCCTCCCGATTGAAAACGCCAACCGCGCCCTCTGCCGCCAGACCGCTCCGCGCACTCCGCACCTCAGAATTTGACTTCAGCACTGCGCCTCCTCTGAGTGTCCGTATGCGTTTCTCTTTCCTCCTAGTTGTAGGACTTCCACTCAGCCAGCGTTCCTGTGGTTCTGGGTGATGTCCGTTCCGTCTTTTAGTTTCACTTTTGAAGTAGTTGTTCAAGGCAGCAAACTCCGGCATTAACCTATGCCGCCATCTTGGTTCTCTGATTATACATTTTCTAATTTGATGACACTCTTTCTAAATTATTTTTCAATTTCATTAGTCATCCTGTTTTGGGCAGGGGGATTTGGTTAATCCTCATGTGAGGATATTTTTTCCATTAATTTTTTAGAGAGTGGAATCTAGGAAAGGATGAGGGGTGGGAGAGAGAGAAACATTGATGTGAGAGAGACACATTGACTAGTTATGTTCCACACACACCCTGACCAGGTCCAGGGATTGAACCTGCAACCCAGGTACGTGCCCTTGATCTGAAATCAAACCGGCTTCGGTTCAAGGGCAAGTACTCTAACTACTGATCCATACTGGCCATGGCTGTGATCACTTTTAAAGAGCATTGGAAGGCTATAAACTTATTTTTCATCATTATTTTATTAAATAGAATTAGTAAAATGTCTACGTGAAACAAAATGTTTATTCATATGTATATGCTATTCTTTAAATTTCTTTGTTTTCCTTACAGGGTTTCAAACAAAATCAAAAAGAAGGAAGGTGCTCACATTTTAATTAAGGAGTAAGTATGCCATTATTATAGAAGAGAAATCTTTTGTATAAATTTTATAGTTTGTGGGAAACATATTTTTAAAAAATTTTAAAATGTAGAAAAGTTAATATAAAACAATATTGAAGACATTTTGATGCCAAAGCTATTTGATAAAAGGTTTATCTGTATCCCCTCTAGAATTGTCATGATATCAAGGTATCTATCATCTCATCAAATACTTGTTGGTTGGTGGTGTGGAAATAAAAACACACTTGCTCTAGCCAGTTTGGCTCTGTAGACAGAGCGTTGGTCTGCAGGCTGAAGGGTCCCAGGTTCGATTCTGGTCAAGGGCACGTGCCCAGGTTGCAGGCTCGATCCCCAGGAGGGGGCATGCAGGAGGCAGCCGACCAGTGATTCTCTCTCATCATTGATGTTTCTAGCTCTCCTTCTCCCTTCCTCTCTGAAATCAATAAAAATATATTTTAAAAAAGAAAAACATACTTTTCAATAAAGAGATCCTTAGAATCAGTGGTAAAACTGCATCACTGTGGTCAGACAGCCAGATGTACTTTTTTAAGGCCAATTGGCTGTGAGAATCAGCTGTGTCTGCAGTGGGAGAACTTCTGTGCTGAAGACACCCCTCTGGGGCTAGACTTGCTTCAATGGGGCTTTGGTGCTCACTGAGTCTGCCCCCTGAGTGTGTCTTTTATGGTTCCACGGAGCTGCAAACTGGATGGTCCCACTCTGACCTCTGGGCTTCCTCTACATTTCGTTCTTTATGTCTACAATATCTGGCACAGTTTTTTGCTTAAAGAGCATAAGATGGAGAAAGATTAAGCATCAGCTCTATTTTTTGTTAACTTAAAGAAGACTTTTATAAATAGCAAATCCTGCAAGTAGATGAATGGTTTTGAAAGTTAATTGTAAGGGAATATATGTAACATTTTTTAAAAATATATTTTATTGATTTTTTTACAGAGAGGAAGGGAGATAGATCAGCTGCCTCCTGCACATCTCCTACTGGGGATGTGCCTGCAACCAAGGTACATGCCCTTGACTGGAATTGAAACTGGGACCTTTCAGTTCACAGGCCAATGCTCTATCCACTGAGCCAAACCAGTTAGGACTATATGTAACATTTTGAAGATAGCAATTAATATAATTGGAATAGCTTTTGGATAAACTAATCTTTGAGGTTTGAAATTCTGATTTTTTTCATTACTAGTTATTGTAACATAAATTGACTTTGCACATTTTAAAATGGTGTATAATTGTGCGTTGAACTATAGCCCATCTTACCTAATATAGAAGGAATATGCAGATTGACCATCACTCCATAACGGTCAAGGTGGCTCCACCCACAGTGGAGGCAGGGATTCTGTAACACAAGATGGCTGCGCTGGGAGGCCAGGTTCCCATAACGAGCCTTAATGAGCAATCAGCAGGGACCTAAGGCTGTGACCCCGCCTGGTGGGGCTTGACAAGGGACCTCAGGCTGCGCCCCCCGCCTGGCACCGGGCGAGGCTGGGGGACCTGAGGGTGTGCCGGGGGACCTGAGACTGCGCCCCCCCCGCTTGGCACTGGGCCAGGGGACCTGAGGCTGCGCCCCCCCCCCCACCTGGCAGGGCTTGACAAGGATGGGGTCAGCCAGGTCTGGATCTTGCCCAATGGGGGTGGGGCCGGCTGGGTCTGGGTCTTGTGTGATTTTGAGGCGCCATGGGTGTGCAGGGACTTGACTCTGGGTACCGTGGCATGCCCCAGACTCTGACAGGAGGAAGATTTTCATACACATTTTACTAATTTTCTTTCATCTCTGACATGTCTATTATAGAGAAAGGGCAAATAGCAATATTAAAATATTTCCTCTAATTAATGCCCTTTTAATGTGCATGAATTTCATGTACTGGGCCACTAGTTTTAAATAAAACCAGTTCTTGGTTTCCAGGCAGAAGACAGAGGTGAAGCAGTGTGTCTGAGTATTATTGAGTCTTTGTGTTTACATAAAGACTTGTGGTTAAGAGTAAAAAAATCTTACTTTATAAATCTTGGTTTCAGTAGACTCGTAGGTATCTATTAATTGCATTTTTATTATACAGGAAACTAAAAACTGCCATGTGAAATTTTTCTTTAATAATTTTTTTGAGTCGTTACTGTGTTTGCTAGAGGTAGATATTTTATTTAATCCATATAGCACCATCAAGTTAGATAATTATTCCCGTTTTATACAAATGAGAAAGGCTCATAGAAGTAAAATGACTTGCGTTGGGCCACACAGCAAATGATGGCGCTCTGTGTGTACCACCTCAGAATTCTCCATTCAGCTCTCAGTCCCCTACCACATCCCCACCCTAGCAACTGTTTTTTCCAGGCTTTGTGGAATTTTGTCCCATGTATACATAATTTAGGATTTGGTCAAGGACCTAAATGGAAATCCTATACAAATTTCTGGAGGTCCTTCTCTTCAAATCACTCTTTAGACTTGCATCTTCAAATTCCAGCTGCCTTATTCCAAGACCCAAACTACAATCTATTTCTTCCACCCAAGAACAATACTCTTTGCACAAGTTTCACTTTCCATGCTGCAATTTGAAAATTGAGTCCAGCCAAAAAAGGGGTGAAAGTGAAGTTCACCTTATGTGTTTCCCTTTCTCAAGGATTTCAGCCCTATACAATGTATTGTCCAGTGCCTGAAAACAGTTGTGTCATACAGGGTGGGGCAAAAGTAGGTTTACCATTGTGAGTATGCAAAAGTTTATTCGTATATTATTACTTCCTAGAGGCCCGTTGCAGGAAGATTCCTGCAAGAATAGGGCTTCCTCGGGCTGATTGTGCTGCCAAGCCCCGCTGTCCAGGGCCGCACACAGGGGTCCTGGCTGGCGTTGGGGCTTAGGCGGCACATGTTTAACTACATTGTTGCTTGTTACGTGTATCATTCCTGACAGGAAGATATATTTAAATGAAAATAAGACACAGAACTTTGTATATTACACTGCCTGCTATTTATGTAAACATATGTTTACGTACATGTATATGCATTGATTATCATCTCAGGGTGATACTCACGTTACCTATGAAGAGGAACTAGAAGACAAAGGCATGTGAGAGAGACTTCACAATGTACCCTTTTGTATTTTTGTGCTGTGTGCACTTATTGACCATAAAAAATAACATGTAATTAAAATAAATCTGATAAGATGTATCAATCGTTTAAACTTTTAATTTTTTATTTTTATAGGTAATTCATACAGTATTCCTTAAGAAGTAAGTGCTTTTTCCGCATTTCTTGTTTATATTTAGATGTATATGTATTCCGTATCAGTGTATAAAATTCTTGTTTTAAACAGCTGCAGGATATTCTTATGTATAAATGTACATCATACTTATTTTTTTTAATATATTTTATTGATTTTTTTTTTTTACAGAGAGGAAGGGAGAGGGACAGAGTTAGAAACATCGATGAGAGAGAAACATCGATCAGCTGCCTCCTGCACACCTCCGACTGGGGATGTGCCCGCAACCAAGGTACATGCCCTTGACCGGAATTGAACCTGGGACTCTCGATTTCGCAGGCCGACGGTCTATCCACTGAGCCAACCGGTTAGGGCCATAATACTTATTTAATTGACCTCTTATGGATGGAAGTTTAGGCTGTTTGCAATTGTTTGCTGTTTAATATATAGTCAGTATTCTTTTACATAATTCTTTTTGTAGATATATGAGTACATTTCTAAAATTAAATAAATAGAACTGCTGGATTGAAGAGGATATGCATTTATAATTTTAATAGATTTTTGTTAAATTGCTCTCAGTAAAAATTGTGTTAATTTATATTCCCACCAATATTGTTCATTTGTTTCCCACAGCCAAACCAATAATTTATCAAACCTTTAGGTCTTTGTCAATCTAATAGATGAAAATGATTGTCTTATTATAATTATTTTATTGTGAAGTTTAGCGCCTTTTTATGTGTTTGAGAGCTATGTATGTTTTCTAAAAACTTTATGAACATCACCTTTACACACTTTTCAAGTTGGATATGTTTTTCCTGTTGATTTGCAAGAATTCTTTGTAATGGTAACCATCCCTTTGTGATATGAGTTGTAGGTACTTTTTTCTACAACTAGTTTATCATTTTTTTGACCTTGCTTATAGTGATAGCAGTTGTCATTTTGCTAGAAATGTTTGCTTTTTATGTAGTCATACTACTTTATTTTTTATAGTCAGATTCATTCCTTTTTTATGGCTTTTGGATTTTCTTCTAATGTTTTCATTTTTTTCCTGTGTCTATATGGTTATTCCCCTATTACATTTTAAATATTTGTTTGCTCTTTTAAATTTTTGCTTATAAAATTTTATGTACTGTAAATCCTCCTTATTCATAGATTCTGGATTTGCAAATTTGCCTACTTGCTAAAATTTATCTGTAACCCCAGGATCAGTATTTCTGGCACTTTCGCTATAATTCATGGACAGATGCAGAAAGGTGAAAACTTTGAGTCACCTAACATAGATGTTCCCAGCTGATGTTAAGCAATGCTGTTTTCTTGTTTCAGTACTCATACTATAAACAAGTGCCCTTTCACAATCTGAGTGCTACGTTTTTGTGCCTTTTGATTTCACACTTTAAAATGGCCTTCAGACATTATGCAGAAGGGTTATCTAGTGCTTCCCAGGTACAAGAACTCAGATGTGCCTTGCAGAGAAAATACGTATGTTGGTTAAGCTTCATTCTGGGCATGAGATATAGTGCTGTTGGCTGTGAGTTCAGTGTTAATGCATCAATACTATCTATTAATAATGTGTTTCAATGGAAACACATAAAACAAGGTTATTTATCTATTGGTTGATAAAAAAAAGCCATCACTTCTAGGAGTGATGGCTTTGTATTTATAAATTCCATGTTTGTGGTGACTTTTTAGAACATAACTGCTGTGAATAACGAGAGTCACCTGTATTTCCTTTTAATTCGTTTTACAAACAGTATACAGAAACATAAAGAGATGTGATAAATAACTGTTAGTAATTTTAATGAGAATTCAAGTACAGAAAACCCAAATTGTTTTTAACACATGATTTTGATCATTGTTTTGTATATAAGACATCAAATACCAGTGCTCCTTAAATTTAAAAAAAATATTCTTGCCCATTTACTCTTCCAAATGAATTTCACAATTAGTTTATTTAACTATTCCATAAATATAGAAATTAGTATTACACTAAGTATATTAGCACATTTTTATTCTAGTTTTATTTACCTTGATGAGTGTATTGCTTTCCATTTCCTCTCTTCTTTATGATTTTATAAGAAAACAGGTTTTTAAGTTTCATAATTATATCTAGACTTTTTTTTCTTTCAAATTAAGGTGCAGCTCTCTCCCAAGGAGAAGGGTGTTTTGATATGCCCTGGTCGATGTGAACAGTTTTCATCTTTTCTTCATGAGCACTTGGTTGAATGGCACAATCTTCTACATTTACCTTTGTCATATGTGACTTGTGCTTAAGTAACCAGCCAGGTATTTGTAGGGAATAACCAGTTTGAATAACTGAACAATGGAAATGTAATTAAAAGAAACTCAAAGTCACATATAGTGCAGAAAAGTCAATCTGTCAACACATTTGTATATTGTAACTTTCTTAGTATGTTAAGCTTTTTACTGATGCCTTTAAAAATAAATGATAAATATTTTTTAATCTTGACTATCTGAATATTTTTCTTTGGAATATATATGGTTAAGGGTAGAGTGTGTAGAAAGAAAACTACTCAGGGTAAAGGGGGTAGTATTATAAAGATACAACCAATTATAAAACAATGTTAATGAGAATCCATGGTTAAGAAACCCTAGCTGAAGCTGAGTGTCACAAGGACTGGGCCCAGCCAATCAGGAACCAAAGCTGTATTGTCTCTTGAAAGTCATATTGTCATTTTCCTCCTTGTACCTTCTCTTGTCTGACTGCCCCTCTCTCTTCTGGCCTCCTCCACGTGCTCATCATGCACACACCTAATATGGTTGGCCAAGCTATTCTCTCTTCATCTCCACCTTGTAGTTCCATCTCTCATTCATTTGACTATATCTCTATCTCTCCATTCCAATTCTTAGGAGATATTGTTTCAGTTTAGTCTAAAGTTTGGTGTCCATGGCACCTGGGGTATTTTCTAGTCTGTTTAGCTGCAGAAGATGTTAATATATAAATGCTATTTCTTTCTGAGGTTTTGCATGGGAAAACCAAATATGCCCAGCATAACCGTACATATTTTTTTGAATAAATGAATATTGTGTGTTACGTAAACTTTGCAAAATGGGTTGTTCTATGGCTTAAGCTTTCTAGTACAGGTTAAGTGGCTTTTTACCATTTTTCATCACAGTCAGCCAATATTTTATATATTTAGCATATTTTAATTGCCCAAATATGTGCCAGGTTAAATTGAGTTATGAAGGCAGCTTACTTGCCTTCTAAGATATTTTTGGATATTATCTCCCTTAATACTTAATAATTGGAGAGTGGTCAGAGGTTCAGGAAAGTCATTTATTTCAGCAAATCTTATTTACTTATTTTTTGGAGTTTTTCATTTTTTTAAATATATATTTTATTGATTTTTTTACAGAGCGGAAGGGAGAGGGATAGAGTTAGAAACATCGATGAGCGAGAAACACCGATCAGCTGCCTCCTGCACACCCCCTACTGGGGATGTGCCCACAACCAAGGTACATGCCCTTGACCGGAATCGAACCTGGGTCCCTTCAGTCCACTCTGGGTCTCTTCAGTCCCTACGCTCTATCCACTGAGCCAAACTGGTTAGGGCTCTTTTAAAAAAATATGTATTTTTAATGTATTTTTATTGATTTTAGAGAGGAAGGGAGAGGGAGAGAGAGATAGAAACATCAGTAATGAGAAAGAATCATTCATCAGCTGCCTCCTGCACGCCCCACACTGGGGATCGAGTCACCCAACCTGGGCATATGCCCTGGCTGGGACTTGAATCGTGACCTCTTGGTTCATAGGTCAACACTCAACAACTGAGCGACGCTGGTCGGGCTATTTTTATTCTTTAATATATTTTCTATTTCAGAGAAGAAGGGAGAGAAAGAAACATCACTGATGAGAGAATCATTGATTGGCTAAATCTCGTTTAACTTTGTGTGCTAGGCACTATTCGAGTTTCTTAGGAGACAGCAGTGAACAAGACATAACAATTACTGCTTATAGTGGTGGGAACTTTATAAGGTGGCAGATAGTGATACATGCTGTAGAGAAAAGTGAAGTAGGGAAATGGGTTAGGCAGAGTGAGATTGGAAGTGGGATGCCTTTCTAAAAAGAAAGGTCAGGAAACTTTATTGAGGTAACATTTGAGTAGAGTTCTGAAGGTAATGAGAGCCACTCACATAAATGAGGGAGAACCTCCCCAGCAAAGGAAATGACAAGTGCAAAGGCCCTAAGACCGGCATGTTTTGCATGTTTAGGAAGCAGCAAAGAAACCAGTGCAGCTGAGTGGAATTGAGCAAGGAGGAGAGATTAAAGAGACAGAGGTAAGACGGGTAGTGAGGGGTCAGGTCATTTGTAGGCCATTGTAAGATCTTCAGCATTTACTTTGAGCTGGGAATCCATTGGAGGATTTTGAATAAAAGGTGTTGCATGATTGCATTTCTATGAAGAGCCTTCTGACTGCTATGTTGAAAATAGATCATAAGTTTCAAGGGAAGAAGCAGGCCAACCCGTTAGGACCAATGGGTAGTAGTGGTTGGAGCTCAGTGTATTTTGCAAATGGAGCTCAGGATTTGCCAATAGATATACAGGTGGAGTATGAAAGGTTTTGATCGAGGCAAGTGGAATTTAATGAGATGGAGAAGTCTGAATAAAGAGTACTTTGGTGGAAAGGAAGGGTAGAAGTTGGGTTTGGGCATATGAAGTTTGAGATGCTCTTAATGGGAGTTGGATATAAGTAGAGTTCAGAGGAGAGATCTGGACTAGAGATGAAAATTTAGAAGTTAGCCTAGATATTGAATTTAAAGCCATTCAACAGCATGAGATAGCCAAGGAAGTGCATTTAATAGAAATGTCAGAGGAAAACTTGGGTACTCCCAGTGTTTAGAGATCAGATATGAGGAGAAGCAGTAAAGGAAACAGAACTCTCAGTGAATTAGAAGGGAAGTCTTGGAAATCAAATGAAGAAAAGGTTTTGAGGAGGGAGTGATGGACCACATCAAAGCTACTGATGGGTCAAATGCTCATAACAAAAGTAGGATGAGACTGAAGTATTCATTGAATTTAGCAATGTGGAGGTCATCAGTGACCCTCATAAGAGCTGTTTTGGTGGCCAAGAGGAGGTAAAATCCTGGTGGGAGGAAATGTAAGAAAGAAAACAGTATACATAAACAACTGAAAGTGGTGTATATAAACAACTCTTTAAAAGAATTTTGTGTTTTTTTATAATTTGTTAATTTGCATATTAGTAAAATATAATATAGCTTTGTTTTAGAAAGTTATTTTTCTAATCTTGTTTCAGTTGTGAATATGTATATAAATGTGCAAATTTTTCAATATAGAATTTATTCCTTACTATGGGTCCTGGTTTTTAAAAAAGTTTGAAAAAATACGGAGTTAAAATAAGAAGGTGCAGGGAACGTTTAGAAAAGACGCTGAGGATATTAGGCAGGTTACTCATGTGGGCACAGTGGAAGGATTTTAGGAAGTTGGAGAGGTTGGGATATGTGAGAAAGGAAGAAGTTTAGAAACATACAAGTGCGTGTCAGGGCATTTGAATCAAAAGCCTCTGAATTAGAGCATTTTCCCCTAAATCCTATTTCTTCTTCACATTGGCAGTGGATAAAGGGAAGGTATAAGTAAACTTGACTACACCAAAATTAAATATACAGAACAGATCCTACAAGGATTAGGGAATATCTCTTGGCCCACAAAAGACTCTTAAAGACTGTTAAAGTGAACTCTTGGTTCACCTATGTGTGAAACTGATTTAGTCCTTAAGTTAGTCATTTCATATAAAACCTGAATTCTTCCACACTGTGACTTTTAGCTAGATCAGTGCACCTCCCTCCACCCTCTCCTTCTGGCTTTGTTTCTCTTTACCACAGTTAGCCTGAAAACCTGATGCTAATGCTGGACTATGGAGGGTTAGATGTATAAACTTTAGTTGGGAAGGTCATTGAGAGACTTCAAAGATACTGGTAATACTGTTTCTTAAGCTCAGTGGTGGGCATGCAGGGTGTTATTGTTTTTACATGCCTTACATGTTTTATAACTATTATTTTGCCTGCAATATTTAGTAAAATGTTTTTGGATAATTAGGTTTTTAGAATTGTTGACAAAATTTTTCTTGATTCAGTAGTTTTTAGCTAAATCTTCTATTCCTGGATGATTGGAGAGAATGGCAATCTCCATTTCCAATGAATATTGAAGAGTTTAGATTGAGGGTGTTTTTCTTTTGTCGAAGTAAGCAGTGTGATGTCTTCTGCATCCAGGAGCCAGCTTAACATGTTGATTGTGGTGAGACTTGGCAGCCGTAACATACATTGACTCAAAGACTTCACTGTGGTGGCCTGAGCTCTGATACATTCAGTGTAATGCCTGGAAATTGTCAACTCTTGCAAGTTTGGCAAGTTGTCCAATACTTGAAAGAAATTTCTATATCCTTCTTCTGTAATCTTGTGATTCAGTGAAAGGTCTAAGTTCTCAAGTTTCTGGAAACCTCCACTGATTGCTACTTTGGCTGTAAAAGCAAAATATTTATGAAATGGGAATCATAAGACTTTTGTTTCAGTAATGATCGACTAGATTATTTGAACCAACCTCCTCTCTCATCACCACTGGAAATAGAAAATGCCAATAAATACATACATACATACATATATGTACGCACACATATATACATATAAATCAGGGGTGAGGAACCTTTTTCACCAAGGGCTATTTGGATATTTATAACATCACTCATGTACCATATACAATTATCAACTTAAAAATTATCCTGCTATATTTGGTCAAACATTTAATTAACTATTCCCTAATGGCTTGGAAGGGCCAGACCAAATGATTTCACGGGCCTTATACAGCCTGCAGGCCAGACATTCCCCATCCCTCCTCTAAAATCAATAAAAACAAAAAATTTGCCCTAGCAGGTTTGGCTTAGTGGATAGAGCATCGGCCAGCAAACTGAAAGGTCCCAGGTTTGATTCCAGTCAAGGGCACATGCCTAGGTTGTGGGCTCGATCCCCAGTGGGGGACTTGCGGGAGGCGGCCGATCCATGATTCTTATCATGGATGTTTCTATCTCTCTCTCCCTCTTCCTTCCTCTCTGAAATCAATAAAACTATATTAAAAAAAAAAAACCACAAATGTATTTAAAAAAATTTTTTTTAAAAACACAGACTTGAGAGCTTGTATAGTCTCAAATGGGAGGACATGTTTAACTTCCAAATCTGACCAGGACATTAGAGGGAACAAACGATAAGATAGAGATAATGAAGTGAGTTGAACATTTTTAGAGAGAGAAAAATCTGTATAGACATATTTTTAAAGTATTTTTTTACTGATTTCAGAGAGGAAGGGGAGATAGAAACATCAATGATGAAAGAGAATCATTGATCGGCCATCTCCTGCATGCCACTAGAGATTGTGCCTGCAACCAGGGCATGTGCCTTGACCAGGAATTGAACCATGATCTGGTTCATATGTTGACGCTCAAACCATTAAGCCATGCCGGCCAGGCAACTGTATAGACATTTTGAAGCAGAAAACCTGAGTAATATCACTGGCTTCATGCAAGCTGAAACGTTTTTTAAATCCTCACATGAGGACATGTTTATTGATTTGAGAGAGGAAGAGAGAAGGAGGGAGGGAAAGAGAGAAAGATGGGCTGCCTCCCATACTCACCCTGATTGAGGATTGAGCTGAAACATAGATATGCACCTTGACTGGAAACTGAACCCACAGTCTTTTTGGTGTACAGGACAATGTTCCAACCAACTGAACCACCCATCCAGGACAAGGTGAAACATTTTATCTGAGGGTAACTCACCAATTTCCATTATACTGTCATCATTTAAAGTCTTGAAAAATGAGAGAACTCGGAGACATCGAAGATGCTGACACTGCTGGATGATCAGTTTGGCCACCTGATGAATCCCATCCCCATTAGGAAGGATCAATTCTTCCAGACTGCTAAGAGAACCTAAAGTGTGGGCTATCAGAAGACCAAAAAAAAAAAAGCTTTTTCATACTGTGTTCTCAAACAGTGGTCTCTAGCCTCAAAATCATGCACAGTCCTAGAGGCCCCATGTAGCATAGAGACTGTTCCTCTTCCTCTCCAAGGACAAGAGAAAGGGGTCAGCCAACACCTTGATCATGTTTTTTTAAATATATTTTTTTATTGATTTCAGATAAGGGAGAGGGAGAGAGATAGAAACATCAATGAGAGGGAATCATTGATCCGCTGCCTCCTACATGACCCCTACTGGGGATCAAGCCTGCAACCCGAGCATGTGCCCTTGACCAGAATCAAACCTGGGACTCTTCAATCCACAAGCCGATGCTCTATCCACTGAGCAAAACTAGCTAGGGCCACCTTGATCTTCATTACAACGTCCAGACAACCATTTTTTCACCCTCCCCAGTCTTTCCTGCACTGAAGTGCAGAATACCTATCACATACCCATTTCCTCTTTTAGATTGAAGCTACTTCTGGCATCCTGGATACTCTCCTAGCTCCTGAAGGCCTTCTGCCCCTTTCTTTCAGTCTCACCTCCTGCTATTATCTCAGTGATTTTTCCCTCTGCCTCACAGCACTAAAGCCTCACAATCCACCACTCTATCTTTCCTTTTCCTTTTCACTTTGATTCCATCCTTAACATGGTACATTATAGATTACTTGATCCCTAAAAAGTTCTCTACTTCTGAGGCGTCACACCTGGAGATGTTTTGAACACTTTCTACCTTAAAACAATGTCCCAGGCCCTGACCAGATGGCTCAGTTGGTTGGAGTGTTGTCCTCGTACACTGAAAGGTTGGGAATTTGGTTCCCAGTCAGGGCCCATACCCAGGTTGCAGGTTTGATCCCCGGTTGGGGTGTGTACAGGAGGCAACCAATCAATGTTTCTCACATTGATGTTTCTCTTCCTCTCTCTAAAATCAGCGAAAAGCATATCCTCAAGTGAGGATTTAAAAAAAAAAATGTTCCAGCCTTTTGCTTTCACTGTCCCAGTTCTTAAATAAGCCATTTCTACAAGAACTTGTGTTCCTTTTTGGGAAGCCAATATTCAGAAATCAAGATCTGGGCATCTGTTGTGCTCATTGCTATTAAGGTATTTTCTAGTGTCTCAGTTGACTGAGCTTAGAAATATAAATGTGTGTTTGAGTATAGAAATATATAGATAAATGGATATCTATATCTGTGTATACGTTGATCTGTTTATGTGAATAGGATAAAACTATGAGTTCAGCCCATCTGGTGCGGCTCAGTGGTTGAGTGTGGACCTATGAACCAAGAGGTCACCGGTTCAATTCCAAATTAGGGCACATGCTCGAGTTGCATGCTCAATCTTCAGTGTGGGGCATGCAGGAGACAGATGATCAATGATTCTCGTCGATGTTTCTAACTTTCCCTCTCGCTTCCTCTGTCTCTAAAATCAATAAAAACGCTTTTTTAAAAAACACCATGGGTTCACACCAATATTTCCAAATCTAATTTAATACCTCAGGTTCTTTCTAACCTACCCTTTCAATATTTACAAATTCCTTCTCTAACAGTGAGGAAAGTTGGCTCTTGTTATACTGAGTGTATTTATTTAATCAACCTGTTGTCTACACCAGGCACTTCCTTGACCCCTGATCCTGCCTCTGCCCCATTCAGCCCTCCTGCTCTTCCCCTACCCACATGGCTGCCTCCAAAGGAAGAAAAGAGGAGGAGGAGGAGATCCAAGTGATCCTTAAGCATGCTAAAGTTTAAAAGGAACTAACTGTTCACTCCATATCTCCACTGACTCACCTTATGTTTTCCTGAGTTAAAAAGACATAATCCCCAAATACAGTCGCTTATGCTAAGTCCCATGTCACCAAACCAAGACTTCGGCTTTCAGCTCTCCAGAAATAGCATCTTAAACCAGGTGATCAGGAATCATCTGAGCAGCACTGGTTAGGTTACCAACCTTTAGAACTCCGCCATCCCCCTAAAGCAGTGGTTCTCAACCTGTGGGTCGTGACCCCTTTGGGGGTCGAATGACCCTTTCACAGGGGTCGCCTAAGACCATCGGAAAACACATATATAATTACATATTGTTTTTGTGATTAATCACTATGCTTTAATTATGTTCAATTTGTAACAAAATACATCCTGCATATCAGATATTTACATTATAATTCATAACAGTAGCAAAATTACAGTTATGAAGTAGCAACGAAAATAATTATATGGTTGGGGGTCACCACAACATGAGGAACTGTATTAAAGGGTGGCGGCATTAGGAAGATTGAGAACCACTGCCCTAAAGGAAATTATCCTTGCAATCACCAACCAACACTTTTACCTGGTATAACTTCTCGTTCCTGCTCTCTTCTGCCTATAAAAGTCATTCTGTGTAGCTCCTCAGAGCTCCTTTCTGTCTGCTAAACAGGATGTTCCCCAATTCAAATCCATTTTTACTTAAATAAACTTAAAATTGTTAATATGCCTCAGTTTGTTTTTTCCCGATCAGCATACATTATTTTTGTAATCATAAAAAAATGAAAAAGTAATTAAGCTCTTTTTATAGCTAGTCATTTTGTTAAATCTGGGTTTTCACATATTGAGTTTTCTTAACCTTAAAAGATAGTTTTATCTATATCCCAGAAACTTAAAACAACAGACTTAACATGTTTGGAACGGGTACCTGCCAATGAAATTGCATAGTGGTGTAATGACCCATAAGGCACTCTGAGAATAATCAAGGCATGTGAGGGTAAAAGTTGAGCAGCTCTGTCCCTTCCTCCTAATTAGCCAGGGTAGTTAATACATATTACGATTTGTTGTAGCTAATGCAAAATAGATGGAAGGATTTTGGAGGAAGAGAATAAAGAATAAGTAAAAGGCACTGTTTTGTATACATACCAAATTTTTCAGATGTTTCCTTATCGGGAAATTCTTGGAATTTAAGATTTAATATCTTCAGAGAAATAAAATTTGTCAGAATGGTGACTATAAAAGGGAAAATAAAAATCTAGTTATGTCAGTTACAACTCATATACCAAAAAGTAATGTGATTAAAGAATACTTTTAAAGTGATAGAAAATACAGTAATTCAGATAGAATTAATTAGTATGACTAAATAGGTAAGTCTTTGTGCAGGAAATAATTCTGATAACTAGAAATATTTAAACTTTTAGAAACAAATACAACTTATTTGATAACTCATTTAAGATCATATATCTATTACAATAGTTCTTTGGCATCAATTGCATATTGAAAATTTGGCTATTTTTAAAAACTGCCTTAAACCAAAATTTTAAAATTGTAACTCTTACCAAATGGGATGGGTTTAAAAAATGCTCCAGAAAACTTAATTTCTTTGAGTTTCTTGCAGGAAGCGAGTACAGTCAAGAGAGACTCAAAATCCAAAAAAAAATTACATTGCAGATGGAAAACATTAAGGTTTGGCGAATTCTCAATTAATTTAACTGTAAAATATCAAGGATTTAAGAAATTAGGGAAGACTGCAAATTTCTATCAGGATTAGTCACATAATTTGTTATTTTGGTTCAACAATCTTGAATTAAAACAAAGCACCACGATGTAATGAACCATGAATCAAGCCGCTGAGGTTCAGGTTCTGCAATTAACTAGTGAGCTATGTGAACTTGAATTGAGCCTCTCTGGGGATCAGCTTTCTGTAAAAGAAGGGCATTGGCTCTGTAAAGTCACTTTCAGCTTTATTTCTTTTCTTTTTTTTTTCACCTTCAGCTTTAATATCTTAATGCTTCTGAGTGTGCACATGACATTTACACAATAGGAACCCTATACAAAGAAACAAAAGCAATGACAACTCTGAAACAAAAATCTAAATTTGATGCGTAAATTGCTAACGGATTTAAGAAAATAACTTCTTCCTGCTTCAGCTCAGTGAATTCTTTTGCATGCCACTCTGCATGTCAGTTCCATAGAGATTTACATTTCCTCAATCTTTAGTGTTCCGTCTTTACTGAACTAAGGAATTGATGATGCCTAAGTCATTTTGCTAAATGATGTATTTAAGAAAGGTGGTTGCACATGTTGTCCATTAACCATGAGCATAGGCTGGTGAAATGAAATGCTTCCAATTGCTACCAATCAGCATACTTCCTTCCACCTAATTTGGCAGGTATCTGTAACTTTAAAACAAAAGAACTCTACAAATTATTTTGAAGAGACAGTATGCCAGTGGTTAAAGCTCAGTCTTGCCCTAACCGGTTTGGCTTGGTGGATAGAGCATCAGCCTGCGGACTTGGGGGTCCCAGGTTCGATTCTGGTCAAGGGCATGTACCTTGGTTGCGGGCACCTCCCCAGTGGGGAGTGTGTGGGAGGCAGCTGATCCGTGTTTCTCTCTCATCGATGTTTTAACTCTCTATCCCTCTCCCTTCCTCTCTGTAAAAAAATCAATAAAATATATATTTTTTAAAAGCTCAGCCTTAGTAGTAGTTAGAATTCCTGTGTTTGAATCACAGGCTACCATTTCCTTAGTTGGGGTGAACTTGAGCAATTACCTCTTCATACCTCAATTTCCCAGCTGTAAAATGAGAATAACAGTATTTTACCTCTTGAATGGATATGAAGGTTAAATGATCTCATATTTGTAAAGTGCTTGTAATAATTTCCTAGCATGTAGTAAGGGCTCAATAATTACAAATAGCTCTCTATTCTCTTAATGAGAAAGTGCTATTCCCCCAATTTACCATGGATACAGGCTTTACCCACAGGTCCACAGAAGCTTTTACTCTTTTTTTTTTTTAAATATATTTTTATTGATTTTTTACAGAGAGGAAGGGAGAGAGATAGAGAGTTAGAAACATCGATGAGAGAGAAACATCAATCAGCTGCCTCCTGCACATCTCCTACTGGGGATGTGCCCGCAACCCAGGTACATGCCCCTGACCGGAATCGAACCCGGGACCCTTCAGTCCGCAGGCTGACGCTCTATCCACTGAGCCAAACCGGTTTCGGCGAAGCTTTTACTCTTAAATGAATGAATCATTGGCCAAGTAGCTCTACCAAGTGATGTAAGAACAAGTAAGTCAATGTGCCATCCTTACCTATTTTAGAAGGACCATTCTCAGCGGAAATTTCAATCAATAATTTCTCCATATTGTGGAGTTTTAGGAATTCTTCAGGAATAACTGAAAAAACATTTTTTTTGTCCATATTCACAGACAATTCTTTCAGGCATGGGAACTTGTCCAAATTAGGAAAGAGTTGATCTAGAAAACAGCACACAGCTTCCCGTTATTTATGTAAAGAGTTCCAAAATGGCAAATTTGAAACTATCATTTTGATTCATCACACTATTTTCACATGAAAAGTTTTCACATACTGTTACTGGAGAAAAACGTGTCTAACCCCCTTGTTACTGGGAGTGGGGTCCTTGCCATATGCCAAGAAACGGAATTTTCTCAGACTTGCACAGGAGGATACAATATGGCAGAAAACTTTATTTCCGAGGAATTATATCCCTGAGTTTCCAAAGCCCTATTTCACTCATAGAAGTGTAGCTGGAGTTTCAGTAGGGCTAAAATCAGAGCCGGTATCCAGAATTATAGTTCCATGTTGCAGCTGGGCCCAATACAACAATTAGGCTAGCTGCAGTCCATTAGTTCATTAGTCCACTGTGTGTGTGGGCCACTTAGGAGAATGCCAGTAAGCCAAGTATGAGCCAAGTGTGCCAAGAGGAACCACGAGAGTGAACTCCTTTATTCAGGAGATTAAATATCCCAAATTTCCAAGCACTTACAGTGGCCACACCCATTCTGGCCAACCATCTCTCTCCCCAGGTGTGACTGACAGACAAACCCCTTCCGTCATCCCAACCTTACTGTGCATGCGTCTATCTTCCCTTTGTTGGATCTTTCCCCAGTGTTCTTTAGGGCACATGCTTATAATGTCTGGTCTTCTCTTTGCTCCTTTCCAATTTTTTATAACTAGCTAATTACAAGGTGTCAATACCATAAAACATTCTTTTCTAGAAAGTACATATATGAAGATACTGCTTTATGCAGCACTTATTGATTACTGTGTGGGAAGCCTTGTGCTACTTACTGTCCAGATTCACAAAAATAAGACCTCATCGCAACAAATACAACTGGATTTCCACATGCAGAAGAATGAAGTTGGACTCCCTACCTCCCAGCACCATATACAAAATTAACTCAAAATGGATCAACAACTTAAATATAAAAACTAAACCATACAACTCTTAGAAGGATTCTTAGATATGCTACTAAAAAGCACTAGCAATTGGACTTCATCCAATTTAAAACGGTGCATCGAAGGACATCATTGAGACATTGAAAAGACACCCTACAGTAAGAGAGAAAATATTTTCAAACCATACATCCAATAAGGATTTAATATCCAGAATATACAAAGACCTACAACTCAGAACTAAAAGGCAATACAATTAGCCCTGGCTGGTTTGGCTCAGTGGATAGAGCGTCAGCCTGCAGACTGGAGGGTCCTGGGTTCAATTCCAGTCAAGGGCAATGCTTGGGTTGCAGGCTTGATCCCCAGTAGGGGTGTGTGCAGGAGGCAGCCAATCAATGATTCTCATCATTGATGTTTCTATCTCTATCTCGCTCTCCCTTCCTCTCTCTGAAATCAATAAAAAAAATGTAATGATGTTATAAAAATAAAATAAAAGGCAATACAATTAAATAATGGGCAAGGGCCCTGACCGGTTTGGCTCAGTAGATAGAGCATTGGCCTGTGGACTGAAGAGTTCCAGGTTCGATTCTAGTCAAGAGCATGTACCTTGGTTGCGGGCACATCCCCAGTAGGGGGTGTGCAGGAGGCAGCTGATCGATGTTTCTCTATCATCGATGTTTCTAACTCTCTCCCTCTACCTTTCTCCCTGTAAAAAAATCAATAAAATATATATATATTTTTTAAATGGGCAAAGGACTTACTAGACATGTCTTCCCAAAAAAGACACAAGCAGCCAATAAATAAGCACATGAAAATATGCACAAACCATTAGTCATTAGGGAAATGCAAATCAAAACCACAATGAAATACCTCTTCACACCTACTAGGATGCCTTTATAATAAAAAAAATTTTTTTTGATGAGGATGTGGAGAAATTGGAGCCACCCTCCCCTGTGCCCATGCCCTGCCCTGTACATTGCTCATGAAAATGTAAAATGGTACAGCCATGTCTGGCCAGTGTGGCTCAGTGGTTGAGGCACTGACCTATAAACCAGGAAGTCACGGTGCCATTCCTGGTCAGGGCACATACCCAGGTTGCAGGTCAATCCCCGGTAGGGAGCATGCCAGAGGCAGCTGATCAATGATTCTCATCATTGATGTTTCTATGTCTCCCTCTCACTTCTTCTCTGAAATCAATAAAAATATATTTTTAAAAATAAAATAAAAATGGTGCAACCACTCTGGAAAATTAAGAGATTTGGAGATTTCTCAAAAATTAAGTAAAATTACTATTTGACTTAGTCCGTTTGGGTCAGTTGTTAGAGCACCGGTCCATGATTAAAGGGTCCTGGGTTCTGTTCAAGTCAAGGGAACGAACCTTAGCTGCAGGCTCAATCCCCAGCCCTGGTTGGGGTGTGTGTAGGAGGCAACCAGTTGATGTGTCTCTCTAGTGTTGATGTTTCTCTGTCTCCCCATCCCACTCTGTAAAAATCAATGGAAAAAATATCCTGTGGTGAGGATTAACAAACAACAAAAACAAAATTACTATTATTAATATGATGCAGCAATTCCATTTCTAAGTATATATCTAAAAGAATTGAAAGCAGGGTCTCAAAGAGATAATATGTACACCCATATTCATAGCAACATGACTTACAATAGCCAGAAGAAATAATACAAAGCAAAGCACACCTAGACATATAGCAAACTGTTGGAAAACCAAAGCCACAAGAGCAAAAAGTAGAAATGGAAAAAAAATTTAAATATTATTTACACAAGTATTAAAAAACACAAGTACCTAGGAATAAATTTAATGAAAGAAACAGAAAGCCTACACTGAAAACTTGCAAACATTACTTAAAGCAGTGAAAGGAGACACACATAAGTGGGAGATATTATTTCCCATTTATTTTCCAGACAGTACAGTGTAAGCTCTTCCTTCCACTTAGCAGATAGGGTGAGGGCAATCCTCAGGCATCATCTTTACGTACAGATCATTATTTTACTAATAAGTAATTTGTGTCTGTGTATTAACTTATTATTTTTATCTGAGTTGTTTGAAATTAGTTAATTTTCATTAATTTTTACCTGAGCTGTTTGAAAAACATTCTTTTTTTTTAGAAGATATATACACACACACACACATATATATATATATGTGTATATATATATATATACACATATATATATGTTTTTATTTTTTAAAATATATTTTATTGATTTTTTACAGAGAGGAAGGGAAAGAGAGAGAGTTAGAAACATTGATGAGAGAGAATCATCGATCAGCTGCCTCCTGTACATCCCCAACTGGGGATGTGCCCGCAACCAAGGTACATGCCCCTGACCGGAATTGAACCTGGGACCCATCAGTCCACAGGCCGACGCTCTATCCACTGAGCCAAACTGGTTAGGGTTATGCTTTTATTTTTTAATTGAAAACCAAAATGCATTCTACTGGGAAATATTCACAGGGAAATATTCTAAGAAACGGGTCTACAATTCCCTCAGTTACCAATTTTCCACTCCTGTTTTCTTTCCAGCTCTTTTTAAAAAAATATTTTTTTTCTTTATTGATTAAGCTATTACATATGTGTCCTTATTCCCCCATGGCCCTCCCCGACAGCCCCGCTCATGCCCTCACCCCCCTGGTGTCTGTGTCCATCGGTTAGGCTTATATGCATGCATACATGTCCTTTGGTTGATATCTCCCCCTTACCCCCACCCTCCCCTACCTTCCAACATTCTATTTAGAAAACTTTCACTAATTCATAGTACTGACAAAAATAAATTACTGAAGGTTTATATTATATCTATTCTATCAGCAAGCATTTATGGTCTCATGATTTCAGAAGTTTTATCCACCTAAAACTAAGAGTGAGCAAATAAAATTACTATCAGAATAGCCAATTAAAATATATTCATACACACACACACACCTGGTATCTGGGTTGTTCCTGAGACTTCGAGGGATTCCAGGGAAGGCAGGTTGAGAAGCAATTCCTGTTCTACTGCATTCAGCTCAGATTCATTTATGGAGCACTTGGTGAAAGAAGCCTTATACTGCTCAATAGCTGGGCAAAGGCTTTCAATAAAGCCCCTGCTTCCCCTTAAGTGAAGTTCAATGTGCTGTGAAGCTGAAAAAACTGCCATTAGAACCCTGAGCATCTCTTGGTCCAAACCATCCATATTAGTCACATGGACTTCCAGAAGGGGAATCTTGTGCTGCTTTGGAGAAAGTTTCCAATAGCCAGTGCTGATGTCTGGTGGTGCTTTGACAATCATACTCATAAACCTCAATATGTCTTTCTGTTTTTCAACTACATTCCGCTCCCATTCCATCATATCTTCAAAGGCAGCAGCACAGTCCTGTTGTATAGTTGGTGCCTGTGATTTGTCCCAACATCTCTCCAGACATGAACTATCTGGTACAGGTGACATGATTTTCATGTTTCCAGTTATGGAGACTTGGATGCTCCTCAACAATAGCAGGCTTTCTGGATGGTCAAAAAAATACGGTAAATTAAGCATATCCAAAGTCAGGGTTCTCCCTTGAAGGAATTGCAAAATAAATGGAGAACATGCTTCAACAGTGTTGCTTTGATAAGCAATTTTTATAGCAAAAGTCAGTAAATGTTTTGAAATGAGTGAAAAGCAATCTTCTGGAGCTAACTGCCACAATGACCTACATAGGCGCACTCTCTCTGAAACTTCCAGATGGTGCTTCAGATCGTCTTTTTCAGATAGATTCTCCAATGACTTTTTGTTGTCCAACAAATGAAGCAAATGAGATACAATTTTTGGCCCTGCCTTTGTTGAAGGGTAGCAGGAGACATATTTCAAAAAATTGTTACAGGAACTTAAAGTCATCATGGAAGAGTGGATTTGTTTCAAATAATAAAGTCCCAAGTCTTGATCTTCTTGCCTATCGGAATCCAGGAGTACTATCAGCCCCATCCCAGCAAGAAAGTCTTGGAATGCAGGATCTAAAAACTGATAGACTGGTTTCAGTCTCTGGGCTGTGAATTTACTCATCAGGCACATGGTTAGATCTTCATCTTCGTCAACTCCTGCTTCTACAAGGTCATCATCACTAAACTCAAAGCAAGAAGAGAAAAACCCTTTCAAGGCCAGCTTACCACAGGAGGACACGTTTGCTTTGAAACGTTCAGCTGAAAGTTTGTGCTTTAAGGAAAGGCATGCTATATAGGATTTGAAAACAGTCACATGATCATAGGACCGGTCAAAAGGGTTTTGAAACCAATTAGCACAAACTGCTGTTACAAAAAGAGGAGTTTTCTGAATTCCCTCCAAATTTGCATTCATTTTAAAGTGAATCATAAACTTTTGCAGACGGGTCAAATCATGAGAAAAAAACTTCCGTAATATGTAGACAGTATTATAGAAGGGAAACGCTTTGATCTCTAGAATCGTATGTAGGTATTGTCGGATGTCCCTGGTCCTGTTTGTGCGGACGGCAATCAATAAACAGGTCCTTGATGAGTGGTTCTTATGAATCAGTTTTTGTATGACTTGAGGGACTGAGCACATTTCTTTGTAGTCATCCAAAAGGAATAGCACCTGATTCTTTAACTGCTGCACAATGTTCCTTAGGGACATTTCAGTAACAGATCCTTCTGTCTCTAGGAGTTGGTCACAAATGATGTTGGCCAGCCCTTGGTCCAGTCTGGTAGAGCTAAGGGAGAGATAGAAGACCAGCTGGAACCTGTTTAACAAGGGACAGCATCCTGATGCCCATAGAAGAGCTATTTTCTTCAGGAGGACTGTCTTTCCACTACCAGCTTCACCCTCCACACACATGACAGAGTTCAAGTTGGCAAAGACATCAGACAACAGTACAGGCTTTTGCACAGGAGTGCTGATGTTTTTTGAAGCAAGGGACAGATCACAACTCAGCAAGTGGTCTGTGGCCAGACTGGAAGAGACCTCAAGCATATACATGCGGCGGAAACTGGCATCGGTGTAGGCTTCTTTCAGTCGCTGGTTCAGGCTTTTTGCCTCCCCAAACCACTGGGCTTCACTCTGGGCTGTCTCTGTGGAAAGAAGAAAAGAGGCACAAATACAAATCCTCTCTCTTTTAAAATCCCCTACATATAAATTATGTACGCATATACAGGGTGTCCCAAAAAATGTATACACACACGTTATCAGCTGATTTCTATTACATTTTGAAAGTCAAATGTATTTTAATAAACACTACCCTTATTATTTTGGGGGGGCACCCTGCATATAATCCCATGAGCTATTTCAAAATCCTTACCTGGCACTAGAGAACTAACTGCTGCTGAATCTTCAAGACTGGTTTCACTTATGGTTTCCTTTGAAAATAAAATCCTCTATTAAATAAAAATTTATATAAAGATGAGGTATCATGTTACAATTGGGGACCAAACATTACTGAAACACAACCCACCCTCAAATATTTATGCCTGTTGAAAAGAGGAATGCTACAAATATGGAGCAATACATGATCTCCAAACTCCTCAAGTGTGTGCTCCTAAGTGGTACACACAGGTGAGTCAAGCAGAGATTATTGTCCAGGTAATCAGAATCATAGCATCTAGAGCAAGACAGCCCTCCAAAAATCATTAGATACAGCTACTGACCTAAGTTATTAACATGTTTAATATTTCATACCTGCAGTGTAGGAAGGTTATGTTTCTTCCTTAAAAAGTAAGCCATTTAAATATCCCCAAGCTTTTTTCTTCAATTTCATTTTTCAGCTAACAAATATAAACTTAAATCAAATGAATAGCCAGTTACTTTTTATTTCTGTGGGATGACAAACCTAATATACCTAACATATAGCCTCAAATAAGGTGTGTAGGTGTGTATGTGTATGTGTGTGTGCACATGTGAAATTGATAATGGCTTATATCCCAGAGAACTATGACTCATTTAAAGGGGTCAACCTATTATCTAGGTTTATGATTTCGTTGGTCATTTGTTTTTGTAAAAGAAATACCTTTCCAGCCCTTAGAATGGCCAAGTAGCAAGTCAGACCTTATTGTCCTCCAAGTAAGGATTGTGTGGATCTGAGCACCTCTGAGACTAAAAGAGTCTGGGCCCCAAAGTAGAAGGGATTGACTCTACATTTAATGAAGCGAGGTATTATATCTTGTTTACTGTAGTATTCCCATCTGCACCTAACACATCATAGATGCTTAATAGGTACTTGTTAAATTTATTTACTTATTTAGGATAAGCAATTCCTGTTCAAAAACAGCTTTCAACCATGTACTGTTAAAATAAACAAGATGGTGTTCATTACCGTCAATTCAGAAAGCTCATCGTGGCTCTGCAGGTCTGGAATCACTTCTGCAGAGGCCTTCAGATTTTGGAGAAACAGACAACTAAGCACAAAAGTTAAAAGTTATAAAATCAGTTGTAGGCAAGTAAGTCTTGGCATTAGGTTTTTTAAAAATACTGTTAGAGTTTTAATGGGAAAATTTTAATATAAAATTGACATTTCTAGTGATTTGTTCTGTCAGTGTCATTATCAAGCAAGACATTCAGACTGTAGCTGTCAGCAATAGAATGGAAGTGCTTTGTAAAGTAATGAGGGGGATAACACTCAAACATGAAACCAACTAAAATGAACCTAAAGAATCAAAAATAGAGAAGAAAGCACTGGCTGGTGTAGCTCAGTTGATTGGAGTATCATCCTGTACACCAAAAGATTGTGGGTTCTAATCCCAGTTAGGGCACGTATGAGGCTATGGGTTTGATTCCTGGTCCGTGCACATGCCAGACACAGCTGATTGATGTTTCTCTCTGTGTGTGTGTGTCTCTCTCTCTCTCGCTTTCTCAAATCAATTAAAAATAATTAATTTTTTTAAAATAGAGAAGAAAACTTTATGGATTCTGAAACAAAGAATAAAAGAGAGTAGAAAAACTGGTTACATCCAAATAAAGTCTAGAGTTGATAGTAAGGTATCAATGTTGGTTTCTTAATTTTGACAAATGTACCATGGTAATGTAATATATAGTAGTATTAGGAGAAACTGGGTGTGGGATTATAGGAACTCAGTATTACCTTTGTACTTTTTCTCTAAATCTAAAATTAGTCCCCAAAAAAGGTTTATTTTTAAGCCTGGCTGGCGTGGCTCAAAGATTGAACATTAACCTATGAACCAGGAGATCAAGGTTCAATTCTTGGTCAGGGCACATGCCCAGTTGCAGGTTCAATCCCTGTAGGGCGTGCAGGAGGCATCTAATCAATGATTCTCTTCATTGATGTTTCTAGCTCTCCCTCTTCCTTCCTCTCTGAAATCAATAAAAAAATGTATTTTTTTAAAAAGGTTTATTTTTAAAACTTCCAGCAGTATGAAGACAAAAGAATGGCCACAAACATACTCTCTAAAAACTACTTACCAAGCATCATGAAGCTGGGACATATTACTCGCTAAACCAGAGATGGGGAACCTTTTTACTGCCAAAGCCCATTTGGGTATTTATAACATCACTAGTGGCACAGTGCACAAAATTTGTGCACATTAAAAGGGAATTAATTAGAGGAAGTATTTTAATCAACTTCACCTCAGTGCTGGGCGGGGACACATGCAGGCAGCACCATGTCCCAGGCCAGGGATGCAGGCAGGCAGCTTCCCCTCAGCGCTGGGCAGGGATGCATGCAGGCAGCGTGACGTTAGCACTGGGCAGGCCTACGCACACCTTCGCTGGGGGTGGAAGTCCCCACACCCGTCCCCGCCCACCAGCTCCTGTGCACGTGTTGCCTGTTGACTGGTAAAGACTGGGACACCTTTAGGACCAATTAGCATATTACCTCTTTATATATATAGATTTTTGGGGCCATACAAAATTATCAACATAAAAATTATATTTGGCCAAACATTTAATTAACTCACCCATAATGCCTTGGCAGGGCCAGATCAAATGATTTTGTAGGCCTTACACAGCTTGCGGGTTGGACATTCCCCATCCCTGCTCTAAACTTAGATATGATGTCTGCCTGAAGAGCCAAGGGAGAAAATTCTAAAGAGCTCTGCCCTAAATAATTAACTTGGATAGGTAAGAATTATAAATGTCAGTAGGTAAATGAGAAAACTAGGAACAACCAACTGGCTTGGGCTTGTTTTCCTGCTGCAAAATCACAGAAAACCAGGAAAAAAAGCAAGAGGACACTCATTTTTATTTTCCTAGATGGCTTAGAGATGACTATAGAAATAGGAAAATAGCAAGTAGGACTTTTAATGTTTTTGTCCAAGGTCACTATGCAGATAGACCCATCAAGAAAAGTAAAAAATAGACTTTTTTCATACAAACAAACCCAATACAGTTAGTTGCCAGCAGACTTGCATTCCAAGAAATGTTAAAGGACGTTCTTCAGTTAAAAGGAAAATTATAACAGAAGGAATTCCAATTGGTCCTCCCAAAAGAATGAAAAATGCCAAGGATGGTAACTAAGTGGGTAAATATGCAAGACATTTTTTCTCTTTTTAAAATGTATTTAAAAGGTAATTGTTTAAAGCAAAGATATAATAATATATTGTGAGATTTATAATATGTATAATGGTAAAATCTATACTAATAAAAGGGTAATATGCTAATTAGACTAGACATCTTTCAGACATCCTTCTGGACAAAGCCACAGTGGCAGAGGCCGAGGCAGAGGCAGAGGCAGTTAGGGGCAACCAGGCTGGCAGGGGAGGGCAGTTAGGGGCGATCAGGCAGGCAGGCAGGCAGGCAGGTGAGCGGTTAGGAGCCAGTGGTCCCAGATTGCAAGAGGGATGTCCAACTACCCATTTATCGGGCCTACACCGGCAGTCGGATATCCCCTGAGGGGTCCTGGAATTGAGAGGGTGCAGGACGGGCTGAGGGACCCTGTCCCCGTTCACGAATTTTATGCACTGGGCCTCTAGTATCTACACTAATAAAAGACAAAGATGCTAGTTGACCGTACCTTTGCCCAAGCCATGCCCACCAGCCAATCAGAGTGCCTATATGCAAATTAACCCAACCAAGATGGCGGCAGGCAACCACAAAGCTGGAGCAAGCAGGAGGTTTAGTTGCCCTGGCGATGGAAGAAGCCAAGCTTCCTGCCACCCCTGGCCAGCTGTAGCCTCCACAAAAGGCAACAAAGTTTCAATTATAGAAGATAAATAAATCCCAGATAACTGCTTCCAGCCAGCCTCCACTGGGAGCTTGGGTGGCGGGGGGCCGTGGCCAGCCTACAAGCAGCCATCAGCCACTCACCCAGGCTGGCCACACCCTCATGGGGTGAGGGTCCCTGCTGGGGGGCTTGGCCAGCCTACAAAAAGCCATCAGTCCCTCACCTGGGCTGGCCAGGGACCCCAGCTTGGACCCCTACCCTGAAGGGGATGTGGCCAGCCTGCAAACAGCCATCAGCCCCTCACCCGAGCTGGCCAGGCACCCCAGCGGCGAGCCCTACCCTGAAGGGGCTATGTCCAGCCTGAAAACAGCCATCAGCCCCTCACCCGGGCTGGCCAAGCACCCCAGCGGGGACCACCACCGGAAGGGGCTGTGGCCAGCCTGCAAACAGCCATCAGCCCCTCACCTAGGATGGCCACACCCTCATGGGGTGAGGGTCCTCGCTGGGGGGTTGGCCAGCCTGCAAACAGCCATCAGCTCCTCACCCAGGCTGGCCAGGCACCCCAGCAGGACCCCCCACCCTTAAGGGGCTGTGGCCAGCCTGCAAACAGCCATCAGCCACTCACCCAGGCTGGCCAGGCACCCCAATGGGGACCCACATCCTGATCTGAGACATCCTTCAGGGCAAATCAGCCGGCCCCCACCCATGCACCAGGCCTCTATCTTCCTATCTAATAATGGACAAACATGGTAATTGACCATACCTTCGCTATGCCGCCAATGGGCTAATCAGCATGATATGCAAATTAACTGCCAACAAAGATGGTGGTTAATTTGCATACATAGGCTCCAAGCGGCGGAGGGAAGACTGAAGGAGAGCCACAGCAGCTAAGACAGAAGACTGAAGGCAGCTCCGGCCAGAGCGAAGGACTGGGTCCCGGGTGCCAGAGGAAAACCTGTGCCGGCAGCCAGGAGAAGGGAAGGCCTATTGCACAAATCTCTTCATGCAACAGGCCTCTAGTCCTATCTAATAATAGACAAACATGGTAATTAACCGTACCTCCAGCATGCTTCCCATTGGATAATCAGGGCGATATGCAAATTAACTGCCAACCAAGATGGCGGCCGGCAGCCAGGCAGCTGAAGCACAGGAGGCTTGCTTGCTCCAGTGAAGGAGGAAGCCAAGGTTCCCCACCTGCCGCTGCTGGGCTCTGAGCTTGCACTCTAAGCAACTATATTGCAATTATAGACACTAAACAAACCCCATGGTTTCAGCCAGCTGGCCAAGCTGGAGTTGCAACAGAGTTTCGATTATAGAACCCAAACAAACCCAGATACCTGCTTTCAGCAGCCGAGGCCTCAGAGCTGGAACCGAGCCTCAGAGCTAAAGCCAGCTCTTAGTTCCAGTGACAGCCATAGAAGGTAAATAAATCCCAGAATAAAAATAAAAAAAAAGAAAGAAAGGATGGGTTGGGAGCTTCAGTCACCCACCAGCCTGGAAACAGCCCTCAGCCCCTCACCCAGACTGGCCAGGCACCCCAGTGGGGACCCCCACCCTGAAGGGGGTGTGACCAGCAGCAAACAGCCATCATCCCCTCATCCAGGCTGGCCAGGCACCCAAGCGGGACCCCCACCCTGATCCAGGACACCCTTCAGGGCAAACCAGCCGGCCCCCACCCGTGCACCAGGCCTCTATCCTATATAGTAAGAGGGTAATATGCCTCCCAGCACCGGGATCAGCGGAGCTGTGAGGCCTCCCGAACCCAGGATCAGCGGAGCAACAAGGCCTTCCGGCACTGGGATCAGCGGAGCCTCAAGGCCTCCTGGCCTCAGGATCAGCGGAGCAGCGAGGCCTCCTAGCACCGGGATCAGCGGAGCTGCAAGGCCTCCTAGCCCCTGGAGCAGTGTGACAGGGGGCAGCGCCCAAACCCCCTGATCGCCCTGCGGCTCGTGTGTGACAGGGGGCGGGGCCACAACCTCCCTATCCACCCTGCTCTGTTCATGACAGGGGAAGGCGCCCCAATCCCCTGATCAGCCCTGCTCTGTGTGTGACAGGGTACGGAGCCCCAACCCCCCTGATGGGCCCTGCTCTGTGCGTGACAGGGGGCAGCGCCCCAACCCCCTGATCAGCCCTGCTCTGTGTGTGACAGGGCGCAGGGCCACAACCTCCCTATCCGCCCTGCTCTGTTCGTGACAGGGGAAGGCACCCCAACCCCCTGATCAGCCCTGCTCTGTGTGTGACAGGGTGCGGCGCCCCAACCCCCCCATGAGCCCTGCTCTGTGTGTGACGGGGTGGAGCCGCAACCTCCCCATTGGCCCTGCCCTGAGTGTGATGGGGGGAGTGCCCCAACCCCCTGATCCGCCCTGCTCTGTGTGTGACAGGGGGCGGTGCCCCAACTCCCCTATCAGCCCTACTCTGTGCATGACAGGGGGGAGCTCCCCAACCCCCTGATCGGCCCTGCTCTGTGTGTGACAGGGTGCGGAGCCCTAACCCCCTGATCGGCCCTGCTGTGTGTGTGGTAGGGGGTGGCGCTGCAACCTCCCCATCCACCCTGCCTTAAGTGTGACAGGGAGCGGCGCCCCAACCCCCCAATCGGCCCTACTCTGAGCCCGACTAGGAGCTGCACCTAGGGATTGGGCCTGCTCTCTGCCACCCGGGAGCAGGCCTAAGCCAGGAGGTCGTTATCTCCCGAGGGGTCCCAGACTGTGAGAGGGCACAAGTGGAGCTGAGGGACACCCCCCCCCCCCGCCAGTGCACAAATTTTTGTGCACTGGGCCTCTAGCATATAATAAAAGGGTAATATGCAACATTGCAATATGCAATATGACCCTAACAGAACAACTGGGAATGACTGGTCACTATGACACACACTGACCCCAGAGGGCAGACGCTCAATGCAGGAGTTGCCCCTTGGTGGTGTGCTCCCACAGGGGGTGCTCTGCTCAGCCACAAGCCAGGTTGATGGCTGCCAGTACAGCTGTGGTGGTGGGAGCTTTTCCCGCCTCCTCAGCAGCACTAAGGACGTCCAACTACAGCTAAGCCTGCTCCCTGCTGGCAAGTGGACATCCCCCGAGGTTTCCCGGGCTGCCAGAGGGATGTCTGACTGACAGCTTAGGCCCAATCCCCCCGGGAGCAGGCCTAAGCCAGCAGGTGGTCATTCCCTGAAGGGTCCCAGACTGCGAGAGGGCACAGGCCGGGCTGAGGGACTCTCCTGAGTGCACAAATTTTTGTGCACTGTCCCTCTAGTATGATAATAAAAGCAAAAGGATAGGAGGGGAGAAATAGAAATATACTGTTACATAATTCATACATTATATATCAAGTGTTATAATATCTAAAGATCACTGATAATGTTAAACATGCACATTATAAATTCTAGAGCAAGCAGGCACTAAAAAGACAAAGTTGTATAGCTAATAAACCAATAACAGAGATAAAATGGAACACTGAAAAATACTCAAACTCAGAAAAGTCATGAAAAGAAGAAAAAGAAACAAAGAGAGTTGTAAAAAATAGAAAGCAAATAGCAAAATAGTATATTTGAATCCAGAAGTCCTGCACTCCAAGAAATGTTGTATATCAATAATTAAATTATATGTACATGTTCTTTTAAAAAAATATGTTTTTATTGATTTCATAGAGAAGAAGGGAGGAGGGAGAGAGAGAAACATCAATGATGAGAGAGAATCATCAATTAGCTGCCTCCTGCACGTCCCCGATTGAGATCAAGCCCACAACCCAGGTATGTGCCCTGATCAGGAATTGAACTGTGACCTCCTACCACAGGTCGACGCTTAACCACTGAGCCATACCTGCCGGGCCAAATGTAAATGTTCTAAACACTCCCATTGTCAGAGTTAAAAACTAGATCCAACCCTGTTGCCTGCCTACAAGAAATTTGCTTTTTTTTTTTTTTTAATATATTTTATTGATTTTTTACAGAGAGGAAGGGAGAGAGATAGAGAGTTAGAAACATCGATGAGAGAGAAACATCGATCAGCCGCCTCCTGCACATCTCCCACCAGGGATATGCCCGCAACCCAGGTACATGCCCCCGACCGGAACCAAACCCGGGACCCTTCAGTCCGCAGGCCGACGCTCTATCCACTGAGCCAAACCGGTTTCGGCAAGAAATTTGCTTTAAATATAAAGCCATAGATTAAAAGTAAAATGATTTCAAAAATTATGTAAAAACTAATTATAGAAAAATTGGAGTGATAAAATAATATTAATATCAGATAAAGACTTAAGAACAAGGAATACTATGAGGTTAAAGAGAACAGTTCATATAATCTCTGAATATGAAAGGGCAAATAATAATACACACTTTTGAAGAAAAATAATGTGGAAATTACATGGGAAAATATGAAAAATTTTAGATTGTCAAAAATTTAAATTTGGACAACACCAAATTAGTAAGGAAGCAGGCCATGGAAAATTCATCTATGCTAGTGTAAATGTACTAGTAATTTATGAGTACAACCACTCTGAAAAACTTTTACACACTCTAGTAAGGTTGAATATGTTCAAATTCTATGCCTGTGCAATTCCATATTTTGTTATATGCCCTAGAGAGTAACGCTCAGGGCATTGGGAAATATGCACAAGAATGTTTGTAGTACCATTATTTGAATTTGCAACATCCTTAAGACAACCCAGATGTTGAATCAATAATGGAAGAGATAATTATACACTTGTGAAATAATACACTATATAGCAGTGAAAACAAGTGGACTACAACTCTATACATAATTAAGAATGAGCCTACAAAACGATGTGGAGCTACATGTGTCATTCACAGAAGAACCTTGCAGTATGCTTCTATTTTCACTTCAAGAATAGGCAAAATTCAATGTTTAAGGCGACATATGTAGTGGGTAAAACCATAAAGAGAAGCAGATGAATAATTAACCAAAAATTCAGGATCATGTTTAACTCTGGATTGGAGGAACAAGGATATAATTGGAATTGGGGAGGGTGGATATACAGTAGCCTTCTAAGGCATTTGGTAATGTTCAATTTCTTAACTTCTATGGTCGATACATTGGTTTCTTATTGTCCTTCAAATCATAAATATTTTAGTTACTCCTTTGGAGGCATCCTAGTCTTCAATTAAAAAAAAAAAAACAAAAGAAAGAAAGCAAAGGAAGAGTAAAAACCACACAAAAGGAAGTTGATAGATTCCAGAAAAAAACTTCTAAACAAAAGTAGACTGCATATAGCTTATGTTTCCAGAAATTAAGAGGAATGTCCCTATGATTCTCAACAATTTACTAAATACTAACTCAAATAAGAAAGAAAATAAGCAACTACTTCTGTCAAAACTCCTTCAAAGCAGTACCCTCTTTAGAATCTTAGAATTAAATGGGAGTATTTGTTTTAAGATCTGTATGTATTAATACTTATTTCTGGAAAAAAGTCTTACAAATTACAAAGTGAAAACAACTAATTTCTTCTTACAACTCAACATTTATGGAGAGTTTGGTGAGCAAAAAATAAGTAAGCCAAAAAACTTTAAACATTCACAGAAAAAAAAATTAAAGAAATAGCCATTTCACTCAGCCAGAGTGGCTCAGTGGTGAGCATCAACCTATGTATGAATCTAGAGGTCATGGTTCAGTTCCTGGTTGAGGCACTTGCCCGGTTGTGGGCTCGATCCTTAGTGGGGGAGCATGCAGGATGCAGGCAATCAATGATTTTCTTTCATCACTGATGTTTTTATCTCTCGCTTCCTCTCCTTTCCTCTCTGAAATCAATATATATATATATATATATATATATATATATATATATATATATATGTATATGTATATATATGTGTGTGTGTATATATATATATATATATATACAAAAAAAGAAACAGCCATTTCTTCATGAAATTTTAAAACACTAGAAACAAACAGAAAAACCTAAAAGCTTCTAGAAGGGGTGGAAATGTGGTTTGCAATCTAAGGATTAAGAATCAGAATCAGCCGAAACCGGTTTGGCTCAGTGGATAGAGCATCAGCCTGCGGACTGAGAGGTCCCGGGTTCGATTCCGGTCAAGGGCGTGTACCTGGGTTGCGGGCACATCCCCGGTGGGGGATGTGCAAGAGGCAGCTGATCGATGTTTCTCTCTCATCGATGTTTCTAACTCTCTCTATCTCTCTCCCTTCCTCTCTGTGAAAAATCAATAAAATATATTTAAAAAAAAAAAGAAAGAAAAAAAAAAGAATCAGAATCAATAGCAACATTGGAAGCTATACAAAAATGTAGCAATGCCTTTACAATTGAAATTAAGACAAATTCTAACCTAGAATTCTATACCCAGCTAAATTATCAAACAAATGTGAGAATATATTCAGATATATGAGTTATATACAAGCTAAAAACATGTATCTCTTGTGCAATCTTTTCCAGGGGACTTGGAGGAGTACTCCACCAAAATGAGTGGATAAACCAAGAAGATGACATTAGATAGGACACAGGAGCTACAACACAGGAGAGAGCCAATAGGAATCCCTAGGATCCTAGGATGACTACAGGATAAACAGTTCATGTTGGAGAGAAACTTCAAGAAAATGAAAATGATGGAAATGCTTATAGTTCTGAATGACTAGAGAGAAGATTTAAACATCTGGGTGAATTTGATGATAAACTGGTCCTCAAGACATAAAAAAAAAATACCTAACCAAATACTACAGTTAAAGAAAAGTATTGGTGAGAATATGGAGAAATATATATAACTCTGTCATAAAAAAAAGAAATGAAGTACTGACACATGCTACAACATGGATGAACCTCAATACATTATGCTAAGTGAAAGAAGACAGACACAAAAGTCATATTGTATGTTTCCATTTATATAAAATATCCAGAATAAGTAAATCTGTAGAGGCAGAAAGTATATTGGTAGCTCTAAGGAGCTAGACTAGGATGGGGTGGGAAGATAGGGAGTGACTACTTAATGGGTACAGTTTTCTTTTGGGGTAATGAAAATGGAATTAGAGGAAGTGGTTGCACAACATTGTGAATGTACTAAATACTACTAGATTGCGCACTTTAAAGTGGTTAATGTATGAATTTCATTTAAAAAATTAAACTACTAACAAGACAATTATTACTTTCTACAAAAATTAAAATTTGTACAGAGAGGCAAAATAATAATTTACTACAGGTTCAGTTCTGCAGTCATGATAAATAAACATATAATGTAAAAATATTGATCTCACCAAAACTATGCTATAACTATAATAAAGGAAATGCTAAATGGAAAGGGTGTCATGAGAATAAGGGGATAAGAGATAAAGACTCATTCTTCAGAATAGCAATCAGAGGGTTGAGCAAATATTTAATAAGAAAATGCAGGAAAAAGCGAGGGACAAATTGTTTTAAAGTATATCCAAATTCACAGACACTAAGCATTCATTCCACTCACTTAGGAAAATATTTCGAATGATCTCCTAATGGGTCATCACTTTCCACCCAGTTGTTCATACATCCTCCACAGGAAAAACACTGGACGGTGTCCTCTATACCTAGATGCAAAGAAATTCAATCAGTGTAACTGGCATGTGTATTTCTCAAGTGACACAGGTAATAACTACCAGGCCTTTATTAGCAAAACCCTACTCGTATTTCCAATCAAATTTTGTGACAAAGTCACAAGTTGGGGCAATATTCTATACAGGACCAAAGGGGTAATGAGCAAATAGTCATGGATGCCTCCATGTGGCATGCACTTTGATGAACACCCTTTCCCTGTCCCATCCTCCTATGGAACAGGGGATGTGCAAATCAGTGTACGCATTAAAGCTCCATGCAGGAAAAGACTTTTGTCTGTTTTGCTCCCCAATGAATCTCATGGACTTGAAGAGTGCCTAGCACTTATTAAGCACTCAATAAGCATTTGTCTAGTGATTAAATAAGAGAGAATACATATGGAGTTCAGGGGGAGGGGAGATTGAGCAATGTTGCAGCCCTGTGTAAGTTCATGAAGCATCAAATGCCTATTACTACATTATTGCCAGGTTTATGCCACTAGAAGTAGGATCAAGTCTCCTTGTGAGACTATATTTCTTAGGAAGGAAACTAGCATTTGAATCTGCCAAAGGATTGAAGTAGAAATGGAACAGCTATCATCTTCCACTCTTGGACCTCTGTCGGCCTGGTAAAGCTAGGGGAGGGGAGACCCTCCCTTTGTGTCTGCATGAAAATAAAAGGTCCTAGAGCTTGCAAGACTCTTAGAGGGTCAGAGGATTAGGATTTGTGGGGAGAGGTGGAGGTTCAAAAAGAAAGAGGATGAGGACACTGGACAGAGGGTGTTTGGAGGAAGCTGCCAAGAGGAAGCCAGAATAGAGAGAGTAGGGACACTGCCTTTCCAAATGCTTAAGCTTGTAAGCCATTAAGATATTTTGTACCACGGAATATCTTTGTTAAAGTGACCGCCATATTCCCCTACTCTGTACTGCTGTGTGAAATTTGTCACATCTACTTGACCTCTCAGTAAAAGCTCTGCATGGACCTCCACTGTAACTCAATTTGTGTGTCTGGCCTGAAGAAAGCCAGCAAGGACCAAGGCAGGGCACAATATCCTTTCTCTGATCCCTACTGTACCTCAGGCAGTTAGCTAAAGGGAACAAGCCTACTAGTTGTGGATTACAGAGGGGAACTTCTTGATGACCAGAAGCTAAAGAGAATGCTATGACCCTAACTGGACACCAACCCAGCGGATAGAGCGTCCACCTGCAGACTGAAGGGTCCTGGGTTCAATTCCGGTCAAGGACACATACCTTGGTTGCAGGTTGCAGGCTCAATCCCCAGTCCTGATCCAGGTGTATCTGGGAGGCAACCAATTGATGTGTCTCTATTTCTCTCTTTCTCTCCCTCCCTACCTTTCACTCTCTCTAAAAATCATTGGGAAAAAATATCCTCAGGTGAGGATTAACAACAACAAAGTATTTTTTGATTTTTCGCGTCTGAGGAGAGTGTTTAAGACTGCTTCTCCACTCTCCCAATATCGCTCATTCTTCCACAGTAACAGAAACCCCAAATTTTAACTGTGTTTACCACCCAGGAAAATGATTGAATGTGCCAGCTTCTCTTATAGCTAGTATGGCCATACTAAGTTCTGGTTAAAGAGGTAGAAGCAAAAGGGTCATGTGACAGTTTTATTGTGCTTTGCTTTCATGTGCTTCACAGATACTACATTTTCTGCAAATACCCTCCATCAGCAAATGTATTATGACTCCAGTGTTGTGATAGTTGTTTTATTGCAGTGGTCTGGAACTGAACCTGCAGCATCTCCAAGGTCTGCCTTTACTCATGTATATATCTTTCATAAAAACAAAGTGGCATAAAACTAACTTTCCAAAAGTAGAGGATACATGTACTTGTATTCATTGTTAGTCAAGTTCTTAAGGCTTCAATTTGGAGCTTCTCTACCTAAGTTAGTTGTAGAAAACTGGGAGAGGTTTTCTGACATAGCAAGGAAAAAGGATATGTAAGGAAAGAGTAGAAGAGTGGAGATTGTTGAGACTAGATAAATACAAATCCAGGGTCATTAGTGTATGTGGGGCTTGAATGAGCAGCAAGGCAAGAGGCTATGCCAACTACTGACTCACCTATGTAGAAAAGACCTGCTTTGGCCAGAGCTGCGCCCCCAGGAGATGCATGGGGCCATTTCTTAAAAGACTCCAGTCGTAGTTCTTCATTAGCAAAGATGCTGTCATTGCAAAAAGCTTGAATAAAAGACATATGGTTAGACCAGCAAGTTTTGATATTGCAATTATCAGGTTCAAGTTATCACTTCATATTTACAGACAGAATGATATGATGCTTGGAGTTTGCTTCAGAATAATTGGGGGAGGTTAAAAAGAAGAAAATTAGATATAGCAAGACTGACTACATGTTAAATTGTTGAAGCAGAGTGGTGAGTATATACTATCTTATTTCTGTATATGCTCAAAATTTTCTATTATAAAACCTTTTAAAATTATCTCATCATCTAGCATCAGAATAAAATAATCAAAAAAGCTAAAGAAGATATGCCTCCTTCACAATTTAGTGTTAAGAAAGACAAATTTTCCTTGTTTCCCTTAAGAGCAGGTAGATTTATTTCTTGCCCTTTGGGGTGTCCACTCTATGCAATGGCCTTCATTAGTTTTCTCATGTTGGGTGGGCTCTGGGGTTTGGTTCCTGTAATCTGTGCCCTATAAGGACTTGAAAATTAAACCTACATTGCCCGGCTGGTATGGATCAGTGGTTGAGGGTCGACCTATAAACCAGGAGGTCCTGGTTTGATTCCTGGATAGGCACATGCCCAGGTTGTGGGCTCAGGGGTGTGCAGGAGGGAGCTGATCAATGATTCTCTCTGATCATTGATGCTGCCATCTCTCTCTACCTCTCCCTTCCTCTCTGAAATCAATTTTTAAAAAATTTAAACCTGGCCCTAGCTGGTTTGGCTCAGTGGATAGGCATCAGCCTGCGGACTTAAGGGTCCCAGGTTCAATTCCGATCAAGAGCAACTGCCTGGGTTGCGGGCTTGATCCCCAGTAGGGGACGTGCAGGAGGCAGCCAATCAATGATTCCCTCTCATCACTGATGTTTCTATCTCTTTCCCTCTCTTTTCCTCTCTGAAATCAATGAAGACATATTAAAAAAAATTTTAAATCTACGTTAACTTGGTTTTGTGAATTTTCTAAAGATGAAAGCTTGCTTTGACGTTCCACTCAACCCCAGGATTTAGCTGTCACTTCATTTTTAATCCGCCTATGCTTAATGTATTGGAAAAATACGTCTTTTCCTCCTGGGTGTCTCCTTTACTCTCAGACCACACAACAACTCTGGCACCAGATGTGTGGTGGTTTTCTCCGACCAGCTAGGCGCCCTACAATTTAACTCAATTCTGACTCCCTCTACCTGAGACAGTGTCAGATCCCACAGGTTAAGAGCTCAGTCCCACAAGACTGCTCCCACTTCACTTCATTTACTGGAGTGGCTCACAGAACTCATAGAAACACTTTCTTATGTTTACTAGTCTATTAAGGGATTGATAGAAGATACAGGTGAACAGCTAGGTGAAGAGATAGGGTGAGGCCCGAGAGGGCCCCAAGAACAGGGGCTTCCAACCCCATGGAGTTGGAATGTGTCACCCACCTGGAAGCTCTCTGAACCCTGTGCTACTGGGATTTTCATCATGAAGATGTTATTAATTCCACTTCCAGCCCCGCTCTGCTCCTCTCTCTGGAGAATAGAGAGGAGGGGGAGGAGGAGGACTGAGAATTCTAAGCTTCTAATCATGGTTTCATGTTTCTAGTGACCAACCCCCATCCAGGAGCCCACCCAGAGTCACCTCATTTGAACAAAAGATGCCCCTAGTGCTCTTATCGCTTAGGAAATTATGAGGGTTTTAGAAGCCCTGTATAAGGAATTGAAGGCAGAGAACTATATATATTTTTCTATTACTTCATGTTTAATTTCGTAACAGATCCAATTAAGAATGTTTTCAAAAACGTTTTATCCAGAAATTTTAATTGTTTTTAATATATATATATATATATATATATATATATATATATATATATTTTTTTTTATTGATTTCAGAGAGGAAGGGAGAGGGGGAGAGAGAGAAAGAAACATCAATGATGAGAGAGAATCACTGATTGGCTGCCTCCTGCATGTCCCCCACTGGGGATAGAGCCTGCAACCTGGGCATATGCCCCATAAAATGAGTAAGAAAATGGAAGAGTTAAAAAAAGGGTGAGGACAAAAGAAAAACAGAAAAAGAAATAAACAAGCAAAGCCTTTGAAATAGGTCTGCGTTTTAAAAATTTTAACGTTTCTTCCCTTAAAAAAAAAATGTCTGTTTACCTGATGCCATAGGTAAATCTCTCTTGACCCAGGAATTCACAAAATGTTCTCCCTGAAGAAAATGAAAATTTTGACTTTGACTTAGAAGATACACGTATCTATGAATAAAAATGGAAAGAATTCCTCCCACCCCCACATAAAGTTTCACTGGATTGATTGAGTGGCACGGTTGTTGGAGATTGTTCTCTAAATATTTGTTTCTATTAATGTTGGAATTTTTTATGCAGTGCTGCTGCCTAACAGGAAGTCTTCTAGTTCTAGGGTGGCTATTTCCAGAGATCTAGCTCCAAAGCTGATTTACATGTGGATAGCACAGATGTACTGTGACTAATGAGGAAGTATGAAATATAGGAAGGAAACTAGATTAAGAAGAGCATTAGGTATTAAGCAACTGATCCTTCTCCTTCTGATAACCGCACTCAATTTCTTTCTCAGGACACAATTCTCTCCCACTTTCAGGTCAAGTTCTCCCTGCAGGGTTCTCATCTTCTGAGTCATGTTAGCCAATAAATTCCCCTTTTTGCTTAAGTCAATTTGGGTTGGGTTGTCTGTGACCTGCCATTAGGGAATCCTTACTAATAGTTACAGAGTAACCAGCTAGGAGACAGTAACTGAGGCCTTCCGAGGGTGATGGTGACATGGTCCCAAAATCTCACACAGGAATTCAGATGGGGCAGCCAAGGAAAGCTAGGGGAGGTGGCCTCAGTCAAAGAGGGAAAGACTATGAGGAAGGCAGACCGACCAATCAAAAGCCAGTCCTGGAAAAAGGACTTTTAAGGGCTCTAGTTTAGCAAGGGAATAGATTTTCTTCATTCTGCCAGATGAGAAGTTGGGGTAGGAAAGAAGGGAATAAGAAAGTAGAATTCATGACCCCCCCCAAAAAAGAAAGAAAGCCCACCCTCTGCTAATTCAGATATTACTAGGTAATCAAAAGCCAACATGAGGGGGGGAAATGCTGTTATAAATTACCGTGACATCAACAAATCCCTTGTAGCTTTGAATATACTGGGCAATTTCCTCTGAGGACTTCTTACGTTGAAGAAATTCACATCTATAATTAATAAACATAATTAAAATCTACACCAATATTGTGACAGAGATGTTCTATATCTCTAGTATTATGGTGATGGTTACACAATAAACATTTGTTAAAACTTACTGAACTGTACACTTAAAAATGGTGAATTTTTTCAACTTCAAATAAAACTGTCAAGAGACTTATACCAAAATATAAGAGATTCATCATTATTCTCACATAATTATTCTTACTTACATTAGTGACAACACAAATACTTTAAAATTAAGTCTTAACTTTTCTCTTGAAACAAAATATATAATACAATCAAAGAGAATGATTTACAGTAATATATATATATATATATATATATATATATATATATATATATATATATATTGGAGATTTTGTTAGTTAAATTAAACTATGGTGGCCCAGCTGGCATGGCTCATTGGTTGAGCATTGACTTATGACCCAGAAGGTCACAGTTAAATTCCAAGTCAGGGCACATGCCAGGGTTTATTGATTTGAGAGAGAAAAGGAGAGGGAGAGATAGAAACATCAATGATGAGAGAGAATCATTGATCAGTTGCCTCCTGTACGCCCCCTACTGGGGATCCAGTCCGCAACCCGGGCATGTGCCCTTGACCGGAATCAAACCCATGATCCTTCAGTCTGCAGTTCGATGCTCTATCCACTGAGCCAAACCATCTAGGGCTCTATATATTTTCAAACAAGTCTGTATATAGGTTGAGTGGCTTTACACGTTTTTTTTTTTTTTTTTAATATATTTTATTGATGTTTTACAGAGAGGAAGGGAGAGAGATAGAGAGTTAGAAACATCGATGAGAGAGAAACATCCATCAGCTGCCTCCTGCACATCTCCTACTGGGGATGTGCCTGCAACCCAGGTACATGCCCTTGACTGGAATCGAACCTGGGACCTTTCAGTCCGCAGGCTGACGCTCTATCCACTGAGCCAAACCGGTTCCGGCTACACGTTTTTTTAAGGGCTTACACTACACATATTATTTTGCATACTGCTTTTTTCACTTAACATATCATAGACATCCTTCCACTTTTGTGAGCATGGCTGCACATGTGCAAGATGACTTATAAACATAGATAACTGCTTAGGTATTGTGTGGTTGATCTATGATACAACCAATAACCTCTTTGCATGTAGTAGGCATATGACAAATATTTGTTAAAGAAATAGGATATGATGCCCCAGTTGGTCTGGCTCAGTGGATAGAGCATCGGCCTGTGGACTGAAAGGTCCTGGGTTCAATTCCAGTCAAGGGCACATGCCTGGGTTGTGGGGCTCGATCCCCAGTAGGGGGCGTGCAGGAGGCAGCCAATCAATGATTCTCTCTCATCATTGATGTTTGTCTTTCCCTCTCCCTTCCTCTCTGAAATCAATAAATATATATATGTAAAAGAAATAGAGTATGAGCCTGATCACATTGCTAGATCCAAGTACTAGGTTATAGGAAATATAGGAAGTGGAAAAACATTAAATAACTCCACAGAAACAGATTCAGCCAAACCCAGAGTGTAGGGAATTTTACAGGACAGATTACATGGCTTCTATAAAGGATAAATGACAAGAAAAAGAGGAAAGAAGGAAATCTATAAATTAAAAATATTAAGAGACAGATCAACTAAATGTAATAGACAGATTTGTTTGGATTCTGATTTAAATTAACCAGCAGTAAAGAGAGAAAAGGAGTTGGAGGGATGTGGATATTGAACAATGACTCAGATATTTGATTATATGTATTGTGGAATCAATGTTAATTTTTTTTTAGGAGAAATAATGATACTGTGGTTTTGTTTCTTAGAGATATTTTAGTATATAACTCTAAAATATAAGAATATTAACAAATGGCATTATATGACTTTAATATAATCTGGTTATTATTATTTCTGGAGAAAGGTGGGTGAAAGATGAATGGAATATTACTTGGCCATATAAGTGCTTATTATACTACTAGAGGCCCAATGCACGAAATTCATGCAAGAGTAGGCCCTCGCAGCACCGGCTTCATCCAGAATAGTGGTTCTCAACCTGTGGGTCGCGACCCCTTTGGGGGTCGAACGACCCTTTCAAAGGGGTCGCCTAAGACCATTGGAAAACACACATATAATTACATGTTGTTTTTGTGATTAATCACTATGCTTTAATTATGTTCAATTTCTAACAATGAAATTGGGGGTCACCACAACATGAGGAACTGTATTAAAGGGTAACGGCATTAGGAAGGTTGAGAACCACTGGTCCAGAAGGTCATCTGGATGGTCGTTCCGCTGTTTGGCTGTTCGGTCGATTTGCATATTACACTTTTATTATTATAGATTCTCTCCACCTTTGAAATTTTTCATAATAAAGGTTTTAAAAACTATAAAGGGAATGACTATGTATTTGCTAGATACAAAGTGATGTAGAAATACTAGTAAATATAGCATTAAAAATAATTAGAATACATTTTATTTTCTAAGCAGGGAACTAAAGAGCATTGCAACAATCAAAATTCTGAGTTTTTAAAATAAAATGTTTCTGTCTGGTATATAATCAGCAGTACATGAAACCATTTGTAATAGTCTTAAACATTGTTTTACTTTCCAACTTCCTTTAAATGCCATTTTACATCATCCCTATATGAATTATTCTTTTTTTTTTTAATTAAATCTTTATTGTTCAGATTATTACATTTGTTCCTCTTTTTTTTCCCCCCATAAATCCCCTCCTCCCAGTTCCCGCCCCACCCTCCGCCCTCACTCCCCACCCACTGTCCTCATCCATAGGTGCACGATTTTTGTCCAGTCTCTTCCCGCATCTCCCACACCCCTTTCCCCCCCAGGAATAGTCAGTCCATTCCCTTTCTATGTCCCTGATTCTATTATAATCACCAGTTCATTCTGTTCATCAGATTATTTATTCACTTGATTCTTAGATTCACTTGTTGATAGATGCATATTTGTTGTTCATAATTTGTATCTTTACCTTTTTCTTCCTCTTCCTCTTCTTAAAGGATACCTTTCAGCATTTCATATAATCCTGGTTTGGTGGTGATGAACTCCTTTAGCTTTTCCTTATCTGTGAAGCTCTTTACCTGACCTTCAATTCTGAATGATAGCTTTGCTGGATAAAGTAATCTTGGTTGTAGGTTCTTGGTATTCATCACTTTGAATATTTCTTGCCACTCCCTTCTGGCCTGCAAAGTTTCTGTTGAGAAATCAGCTGACAGTCGTATGGGTATTCCCTTGTAGGTAACTGAGTTTCTTTCTCTTGCTGTTTTTAAGATTCTCTCTTTATCTTTTGCTCTTGGCATTTTAATTATGATGTGTCTTGGTGTGGTCCTCTTTGGATTCCTTTTGTTTGGGGTTCTCCGCGCTTCTTGGACCTGTAAGTCCATTTCTTTCACCAGGTGGGGGAAGTTTTCTGTCATTATTTCTTCAAATAGGTTTTCAATATCTTGCTCTCTCTCATCTTCTGGCACCCCTATAATTCTGATGTTGGTACGCTTGGAGCTGTCCCAGAGGCTCCTTACACTATCCTCGCATTTTTGGATTCTTTTTTCATTTTGCTTTTCCGGTTGGGTGTTTTTTGCTTCTTCGAATTTCAAATCATTGACTTGATTCTTGCGCTCCTCTGGTCTGCTGTCGGGAGTCTGTATAATATTCGTTATTTCAGTCCGTGTATGCTTAATTTCTAGTTGGTTCCCCAATATAAGATCGAGGGTCTCATTAGTTTTCTTGTAGATCTCATTAAGTTTATCGGCGGCTTCTAAACAGTTCTTGAGAGACCTTAAAAGTGTGGTTCTGAACTCTATATCTTCCATTGACAATTTTGTCCTGTTTCTTTGTCTCCGCATTTTGTTATGCTTCCTTGGTGCACCCCCTAGTGGTCTTTGTTCGCAGTCTTATAGTTAAATCTTGATTGTTGTAGCTAATTCCAGGGAGGGTTTGACCTCCAGGCCAAGTGGCTATGAGAATCAGCTGTGTCAGCAGTGAGAGAACTTCTGTCCTCTAGGGAGGTGCTAATCTAGCCTTTGCCTGAGGCTATCCGGCAAATGCCTGTGTGCAGGGCTTGGGCGGGGCGGGTCGAACAGGATCAACAGGGTGGGCCGGAGAGAGCAGTTATGACGGCTCTCAGTCCTGTCCCCAGGGGCTCTGCCTCTCTGAGTCCCAGCACCCGCTGCAAAGCTCAGAGAGAAAGCTGCACTCGCTCTGACCGAAGCCAGACAGTCCCGCTTCTCCCGTTTGAGTCTGGGTCCCTAAAGACTCGCCCGGATCTGGAGCTCAGATTCTGCGACTCCCTCCCGATTGAAAATGCCAACCGCGCCCTCCGCCGCCAGCCCGCTCCGCGCACTCCGCACCTCAGAATTTGACTTCAGCACTGTGCCTCCTCTGAGTGTCCGTATGCGTTTCTCTTTCCTCCTAGTTGTAGGACTTCCACTCAGCCAGCGTTCCTGTGGTTCTGGGTGATGTCCCTTCTGTTTTTTGGTTTCACTTTTGAAGTAGTTGTTCAAAGCAGCAAACTCCGGCGTTAACCTATGCCGCCATCTTGGTTCTCTCCCCTATATGAATTATTCTTATTTATCAATTAGGGTGGATCCTGAAACTACTACTTGACAAAACGTGTCTTCATATTTTGGATGATAAAACATTTAAGAAATTATTTTTAAATTATGTGATTCTTGCTTGAAGAAATTCTCGAACATTCCAGTTTTGAGTAGGGAAAAAACCTGAAAATGCTACTCTAGGAAGGTGACTCTTGTCTTTAGTTTTGTTTCAGAGGAGAGAGAGAGAGAGAGAGAGATCTACTTACTTGGGGAACCACTTAGCATGCTCCTTCCAAGGATCATCTCCTTCCTCCCAATTTCCTAAACATCCACCACAGGAAAAGCACTGCACAGTATCGCGTTTTCCTGCATGTGAAGAAAATATTTGGATTGTTCGGCAATGGCACCACGGGGTAGTCCCAGAAGGTCTGTCTCTGGGAGTTGCCTCTCTGTGCATGAGGAAGACTTACTCCAACATCTCTGTCCACTTCCACTGTCATCTGGCTGAATCTCCATCCGCAGCCCCAGGGCCCTAAAAGACCATTTTTTAAGCCTAGGACCTCCCTGTCAGCCATGGCCATACTGCACATACACCTGTTTAACACCTGCCCGCCAGGTGTTCCCAGAGCTGGTATTTGCTATTTGAGCTCTCAGAGCCACAGTAGTGGGGAAGCAGAGAAATCCAAGAACTCACAACATAGAGCACAGTTAGAAAACCTAAGTTGTAGCTCTGCAATGAAACTTCTATGGACACAGGAATGTTTTTAAACTCTTTGAGCCTCAATGAACTCAACTGTGAAATGGAGGTAATTGGTGAGTTTGTTGGTACTCAGTAAAAGATTGCTGTTATTGTTATTACAATTCTCATTCACACCCATCATAACATTTACAGCATGCCTAGGTCAATTCAAACTGCAGTTTTCTTAAATGCAGTTTGCCCTATACATCAGAATTAGCCCTACGATTAAAACCAACCCACCAACAAACAGAAAGCCATTCCAATATTGCAGCAATTAAAAGAATCAAAGGAAGATCTTATAGCAGCAGCAAAAGGAAAAGGGGAGGAGATTGGGGTCTGGCTGACCTCATGATTTATTTTATTTTATTTTATTTTATTTTATTTTATTTTATTTTATTTTATTTTATTTTATTTTATTTATTTTATTTTATTTTTTGTTATTCCTCACCCGAGAATATATTTTCCATTGATTTTTAGAGAGAGTGGAAGGAGAGAGGTGAGGAGGTGGAGGGGGGAGGGAGGAAAGGAGGAAGGAGGGAGGGAAGGAGGGAAGGAGCAAGGGAAGGAGGGAGGAGGGGAAGAGAGAGGGAGAGAGAGAAACATCAATATAGGTGGCCGAGGATTGAACCTGCAACCCAAGTATGTTCCCTTGACCAAGAATTACACTTGAGACCCTTCGGTGTGTGGCCCGACACTCTTACCACCTAGTAACACCAGCTAGGCCTCATGGCTTAAGGACCTTAAGAATGTTGTCAATATTGTCTAAGGTCCAAATTTAAGGAAAAGTAACTGTCTAATTATGTACATATTTGACAAATTAATATGTGATACGAAACATAAAGCTCGAGTAAAGTACTGAAGTTGAATTTTAATAAACTAGGCCTTATACCTAATACATTTAACAAGTGAGGAAAGGTTCACAAAATATTGCAACTGAAAAATGGAACCTAAACTTAAAACTCCAGAGAAATGCTTCAGAAAATTATTTCAAATTACCTGTAAAGACAAAGCCAGCTGCTGAGAGCTCCCGTGGGGATGTCCCATGGGCATAAAATGGCCAATCATGGAAGGATTCAAGTCTGGCCTTCTCTTCTTGGTACTTTGTTTTGTCTCCTCTCATCTTGCTCTCTGGATTCTTAACTCTTATGTCATACTTAGCAATGTTGCCAACATCTTTGCCCAAAAGGAACTCGCAGTGCGGGCTGAACTTCTTATGGTGTTCTATGGGGAGACGCTTGAGGGTGGTACAAAACAGGATTAAGCTACAGCAGAAGCACTGCACCCCCGATTTTATGCCGGTGAAATAGAACCCAGCCGCTGCCATCTCCTGTGGTGTCCACGAGCTGTAGGAGTCATAGGTCACAAAAGTCTTTAACCTTTTTGCTTCACTGCGCATTTCTGAGTTAAAGCCCTTCTGCATTTTTTCTCGATCTTCTTGCTCCTTTTTTTCTATTTCCTTTACAAACTGAACCATGTCGATGCCCAGAAGAGCAGACAGCTGAGGGATAGTAGTTTCATCATACTGGGAAATCCTCTGGTCAGCGGCCTCCTCCTGTGAGGCCATTTTCTGAGAAGGGAAAGAAAAGCAGGTTAGCAGACATTTCCACTTGTTTGACTAGTTCTGAGATTTTCTTCAACCCTTTTATTCTTACTTTTCATTTCTTCTGAATAGTACTGATCTATGCATCATTCAGCCCGAGGGGGAGGGAAGACACTAGTAAGTCAACGACAGCCCCCCTCACTCCATCCTGTCCTCCCAGCAGTAAGGTCACCTGCTCCATCCAAGCGGTTGGAGGCCCTCTTATCACAGCATCAGTCGTCACTTACACCAAAGGCATAAAATAGGGGACTCCTTGGTGTGGTCACATCAATCCAAAGATGCTTGCTTGCATCCCCAACACTTCAGGAGCCTCAGGAGTATTCCATGGAACACCTGCAGGTGGAATCAAGTGGTTCCACTTTACAAGGTGCTTTATGTGCCCCCTGCCTTTGTCCAAATTGCTAAGCTGATTTGCAATTTGCCCATCTACCCACATTTCTGCAAAAGTGGCAGCGAACAGAACGTCTTTTTTTTTTATAATATATCTTTTTAATTGATTTCAGAGAGGAAGGGAGAGGGAGAGAAAGATAGAAACATCAATGATGAGAGAGAATCATTGATTGGCAGTGAACAGAAGGTCTTGATGAAGGCCAAGCGTGCCCTTCATTTTGCAGTAACTAAGGCAAGGAAAAGCACTCAGTGGCCCGTAATGAGTTAAATCTGTTCCAGCAGTTTCCTGAGCAGCTCTCTAGAGCAGTCCACAGGGTTACTTCGCTTTTTGGTTGATAAGTTCCTTTGTTTCAAGTTTTCTTGCTGCCCTCTCCCTGTAGTGCCCCTTAGTGATTATCTATCAGACGAGGTCTCATTCTGAACAGAAGAAACCAGCCAAAGTTAGGTCTTGGCAGGCTAAGGCCCTTTCTTAGTTACTTCCATTTCTGCCAAAGCAGCCAAAACCAGCTGAGATAACAGCATTCTCAGCTGACTTCCCCTCTATCTGAATTTCTGTTTTAATTCACTGAGCTACTTCCTCCAGCTCTGGACTGACCACATTTAAATTCCATTGCTGTGCCTTCCCTCCCATCAATAGTCATAGCACTTGATGAATTCAAACCAGGGATTCCTCGGCAGCCAGCCTGCCATCAGTGGTTGTCAATCTTTCGCCCACTTTTCATTTTTCTTTCTGCCAACCGAAGCCTTGGCCGTTATTTAAGTTATAAAGCCGAAGACTGTCTCAATGATCCCATTCGAAGTGCTATCTTGAGCATGTCTACAGGTTTGGGTACTTGCAAAAAACTCACTGGACTCTTTGTAGTATACTTACATAAGACTTTAATACAGGTAGAGGATAAGATACAAAAATAAAAATAAAAAACAGGCAAACGTCAAAGAGGGCTCAGATCCCAGGTCCGGTTCCTGGCGGCCTAAGTGGCACAGGCTGTGCTGCATTTCAGGTAATGGACAACCTAGGTATGTGCGAGATACCTTGGTCTCGGGAAACTACAATCTCTTTTATACTCTTCTGGTCACGTGGCCAAAACTAGGCTACATGACCAGCCTCAAAAACAGAAAAGCTGGTGTAGGGTGCCTCTGGCCTGTCTCAGACCCCAGCACAGGACTACAGTAATCACTAGTTAGTACATTCCATGCAGATTTGGCCAAGAGACAGCACCGTGGCTCCAGGCCTCCCCAGAGATAAATAAACACAGGGTTTCAACAGAACAGCTAGGATCAATTTTAGGTTCATGGTCAATTTTGCTCATCAGGAGGCCATTTCTGGGGACGAGAGATCTCCAAGACCCTCTCCAGATTTCATGTCCTTTGACTACAAGAGCAAAGAGTACCAGCTGAGGCAACTATGTCATGGATCTAGGATTTAAACCCAAGTCTGGGTGGCTATAGTGCCTGTCCTCTTGCCTCCAGAGAAACAAAAATAAGAGAAATAAGAGTGCTGGTACTTCAGGTGTGGAAGAAAAGCACCTCTGCCAGAAATGGTAATTTACTTACCGAGAGGTTTAGCCAGAGTCTCTGTCCAGTGGAAGGAGAATGGGCGGCCTGAGTACAAATGCTGTGTTGGTCCTTTAATGGAAAGCAATGAGAAAATATTTGAGGAACTAAAACTCAAAACAAATTGCAGTTCACTGAGAAATTACCCGTAAATGCTCTAAGTATGAAGTCACAAGGGCCAGTCAGGACCCAGCAGGAATGACAACACTTACCAAGTCCCACAACAGGAAGTGTTTTATTCTAAACAGTTAAGGTTGGTTAGTGCTCGCAGTGCTAGTATAAGTCTTATTTCTTTGCTGGTGACAGTTTCTATCTCTCTGGTTTATTTTAGGATTTTCTCTTTATCCTTGGGGTTATAAAATTCTAAAATGTTGTGTATAGGTTTGGGTGTTTCTACATTCATTGTTCTGGGCACCCAATGGGCCCTTTCACACTGAACACGGGGGTGGCCCATCAGCCCTAAGGCATTGTTTTCTATAATTTTCTTTGATGATTTCCAACTGTCTGCTATTCTCTTTTCACTCTTTCTGGTATCCCCATGATTTAGGTGGGGATTTAATTGATCATCTAAACCTCCCCCTCCCCCCTATATTCTTAGTGCTTTTGCTCTATTTCCTGGGAAATTTCCTCTCCAGTATCTTCCAACTCTCCAATAGTAATTCTTAATTTCAGCAATTATAGTTTTAATGTCCCACAGCTCTTTCTTGTTCTTTATTTTCATGACATCTTATTATTTTTAGCCAACACAACCTTTCTGGCTCTCTCCTACAATATTGTCAGATGATAAAACTAAGGTTAATAAGGAGTTTGCTGTCCTGGTTCAAGGGAAAACAGCCCGGAATTGGGGAGGGGTGCCTCACAAGCAGTGGACACTGTTCTCCAGGGATTTGGGGCAAGAGTGAGTTTTATAGAGAAGAGGCAACAGGAAACAGGGCAGGGTTGGCTAAGACGGTGGGGGTTTGCTTACCAGTATGTTTTCCTAGGGGAAGGTAAACTAGCTAAAGCCGACTTGGAGGATTGTGATTGGTGGATGTTAAGTTTCCCTGACAGGTGTGTCCCATAAGTGCAGGCTGACTGAGGTTCAGATTTATGACTTGGGCTAGGCCACAGGGGTGGCCTCCATTTTGTGGGTCCTCATAAATTAACTTTATCAATACTAAGGTTTAGTTCATCAGTCTCCTAAATTATATTTTCTCCAAGGCTATTACCATGTACATTTGTTTATTTTTCACATTTCCAGACATCCTCAAATGTACACTGATTCTCGGTTTGCAATTTATGTTTAAGAAGTAGGCCATTGAAAAGCTGATTGGTCAGAATTACGGTTAAAATCTAATTAAAGCCACATAATTGCGATTTGAACTAAGCCCTTTACTTGGAGGCCAGATTGGGGAGCCAGGGTTTACCCTGGAGAAGCCCTAAATCAGAGGAACTACTTCAAGTCACCTGTCAGAGCTGGCAGCTGAAAGCACACTGGGCATGTTCCTTGTCCAGAAAATGACCAGGTCTAGAAGGATTCCTTGTCTGGGGGTACCAGTGCCCACACTAGCTCAAGTTAGCTGAAACAGCTTATTCAGTTTCTTTAAAGATAATCATCTAATATTTTTTGCCTCAGGTTTAAACCCTATCAAATAATCTGATGGTGGGGTGGAGGGAGCCAACTGTCCCATGCACAGATTTTAAATTAGTCCATCGACTTTCACCCCTTCCCGTCATTCCTGCCCTCCTTCTTACCTGGCATACCTGGCACTCGGAGTCCCCCGCTGCTCCAGGATTCTCTGCAGGGTGAAGTCTCCCACAGGTGACATGTGTGTTCAGGCTGTGGTTTCCTTTGGCCCACTTCATTGGTTACTACTATTCAATTTGAGTTTCCACCTTCTAAAAATTTGTTAAAATATTCTATGTGCTGATGGTCCCCTCCCGCTTTCTTAATTTTTTCTGGGTTTATACTTTAAAAAAAATAATTTCAATATTGTGTAATTATTATAAAAAATAAGAACTAAGGCGCTCTCCCTCCGGGGAGCATGTCTGTCCATGCCTTTCTCTTTCCCCTCCCTGCCCCAGGCATGTTTATCATTACCTTCTTCACTCCCAAGTTCCCAGGGCCCTTCCTTTACTTCTATAACTTTTTTCCTAAGCCCATTTCTTTTAGGAATTACTTTTTTCTATCTCTGATTTACCAAGTAGCTGGTTTGGCTCAGTGGGTAGAGCATCAGCCAGTGGACTGAAGGGTTCCGGTTTCGATTCCGGTCAAGGGCACATGCCTGGGTTGCGGGCTTGATCCTCTGTGTGGGGTGTGCAGGAGGCAGCTAATCAATGATTCTCTCTCATCATTGATGTTTCTAACTCTCTCTCCCTCTCCCTTCCTCTCTGAAATCAATAAAAATATATTTTAAAAATAATTAAAACGAGACTAGTACTTGCTAGACACAGTTCTAAGTGCTTTAGACATGTACATATAATCCCTTTAACAGTAACAAAGCAGGCATGTTATTTTCATTTTACAGATGAGGAAACTTAGGCAGATAGGGGTTCAGATGAACCAGTCTGGCTACGGAGTCTGCACTCTTAACCACTGCTGCGTAAAGGCTAGATTTTAAACAAAGGCAACCCCAGGTCTCCCAGAAAGCTCATTCCCTCCTCATTTTGGTATTTGAGCAGGTAGCAAAGCTTTTTCACCAGCAGGCCTGGCATGTGATCTCCTCTGGCTAAAGCGCTGGTCCAACAAAGCCAATTTCCCAGCCAAGAAGCAATTATTGTTAAAAAGTTGACCAGCTGTTCCCTGGTCCCTCCTAACTTTTGTATTAACATGTATAATGTTACAGGGACAGCCAATCAATGATTCTCTCTCATCATTGATGTTTCTCTCTCTCTCTCTCTTTTTCTCTCTCTCTCTCTCTCCCTTCCTCTTTTGAAGCACTTTCCATGATGTATCCAGTTGCAACCTCTCCACACAGCTGACCCTTCTGACAGTAAACCTCACTTTTCATTTATGTTGTGTGCATCTCTGCCCAATGCAGTATATTTGATGTTGTAACTTGTAGATTTTGTTGCCCTTATTTTACTATTGTTTTCTAAATGTATAGGATTTTTAATGATTAGAAATCCTCTTAAATTTTCTAAGGAGATATTTGTATTATCTGAATATTATGTTAGTTTTGTTTTTTACAGTCATTTCATTTTCTTGTCTTATTGCATTGATGCTATCCTTTTATCTTTTTGTTAATCCTCACCCGAGGATATTTTTCCATTGATCTTTTAGAGGGAGTGGAAGAGAGAGGGAAAGACAGAGAGAAACATCGATGTGAGAGAAACACATCAATTGGTTGCCTCCTGCACGAGCCTGACCAGGGCCCAGACCAGGGAAGAACCTGCAACCAAGGTACCATGCCCTTGACCAGAATCGAACCTGGGGCCCTTGGGTCTACAGGCCGACGCACTATCCACGGAGCCAAACTGGCTAGGGAGATGCTATCCTTTTATATAATGTTACTTAATAAGATGATAATAGATATCCTATCTTATTTTAAAGTTTATTTTTTTCATCACCATTTATCCTCCCCTATACCCTTACACTTCCCCCCTACCCCCTGCAACCACAACACTATTGTCCATATCAATGAGTTACCTTTCTTTTCTTTTTTTGCTCAACGCCCCTCCATCCCCAGTCCCCACCCTCCACCAACAGCTATCAGCCTGCTCTTTATTTATGAATCTGTCTTTATTTTGCTTGTTAGTTCATTTTGTTCATTAGATTCCACATCAGAGAAACCATATGGTACTTGTCTTCCTCTGACTGACATTTCATTGAGCATAATGTTCTCTAGGTCTATCCATGCTGTCGCAAAGGGTAAAATTTCCTTCCTTTTTTTATGGTGGAGTAATATTCCATTGTGTAAATTTATATCCTATTTTATTCTTGACTTTGGTAGACATTTTTCTGAAGTTTGACCAGTAAGTATGATATTTGTTATAGATTGTTAGTGGATATCCTTTATCCATTTTCCTTTTACTCCTAGCGACACTGAAAACTCCTGCATAGCCTTAACTGGAAAAAGATCCAAATATCACTTCTATATGGCAGGAAGGGGGGAAGAAATCCCCAAAGGAAGGGAACTAAAATACTCAGTAGCCAAAAACAAATATGCAAACACATACATAGCTTGTGGGAGTGTAAAATGGTGCAACACAATGGAAAAATAGCTGGGCAGCATCATGTACACATTTACCATTCAACCTACCAATTCCATTCCTACATCTGAAAAATGAAAACATACGAACACAAAAAATTATTGTTCATAGTAGCTTTATTCATAACAACCAAAAAAAACCAGAAACCACCTCAATGTTCATTGGGAACAAACAAATGATAATGTATCCATTAAATGGAATATTAGTATGCAGTAAAAAAGAACAAACTATTAATACACATAACATGGACAAATCTCAAAAATATTATGCTAAACAAAAGAAATCACACATGCTGCATGGTCAATTTGTAAGCAATTATACAACAGCCAAATCTAATCTATAGTGACAGAAACTGATCAGCAGCACCTGGTACTGGAAGTCTTGGGAAATACTGACCGAAACAGGGCCAGGTGGGCAGATGAAAATGTTCTTTCAATTGTGGAGGTCATTGCATGGATGTACTAGAATACATTTGCCAAAAGACATAAAACCATCTACTTAAAATGGGAGCATTTTATTGTATGCTCATTGTAAGTCACTTTGATTTTTTAAAAATTCTAAGGACACACACAAATCCACTAAAGTTTAAAGATAATCTAAAGAAATGAAAAAGCAATTCCACGTTTGGATTTGTTTTCTGTAGTTACCTGAGTTAATTTTTTTTTTAAGTTCAGTAGAATTCTTTTATCCTGTTTTTAAATGGCTTATCTACCTCTATAACAGAGGCAGTGGCAGTGGTTTTCATACTTCAGCGTTTATCACAATCACCTGCGGGGTTTGTTAAACCACAGATTGATAGGCTCACCCCCAGAATTTCTGATTCCAAAGGTCTGACAGGGCCAAGAATGTGCATTTCCAACTTTTCCCAGGTGGTGCTGATGCTACAAGTCCAGACACAACCTTCGAATCACTGATTAGAGAGAGCCTGAAAGACCCTCTTCCTCTAGTCAATTCTTTTTTAAAATTTATTTATTTATTTATTATTTTTTTAATTCTTTGTTAAGGTATTACAAATGTGTCCTCGTCTCCCCCCCCGCCCCCCCCCCCCCTCATGCTCTCATACCCATGTTGTCCATGTCCATTGGTTTGGCTTATATGCATGCATACAAGTCCTTTGGTTGATCTCTTCGCCTTACCCCCTCCCTCCCCTACTTTCCCTCTTGGGATTAATAGTCTGATCGCTGTTTCTCTGTCTTTGGATCTGTCCCTGTTCATAAGTCTATGTTGTTCTCTATATTCCACAAATGAGTGAAATCATGAGGTATTTATCTTTCTCTAACTGGCTTATTCCACTTAGCATAATGCTCTCCAGTTCCATCCATGCTGTTGCAAAAGGCAAGAGTTCCTTCTTTTTTATCGCAGCGTAGTATTCCATTGTGTAGATGTACCACAGTTTTTTAATCCACTCATCTGTTGATGGGCACTTAGGCTGTTTCCAAATCTTAGCTATGGTAAATTGAGCTGCTATGAACATAGGGGTGCATATATCCTTTCTGACTGGTGTTTCTGGCTTCTTGGGATATATTCTTAGAAGTGGGATCATTGGGTCAAATGCGAGTTCCATTTTTAGTTTTTTGAGGAAGCTAGATACTGTTCTCCACAGTGACTGCACCAGTCTGCATTCCCACCAGCAGTGCACGAGTGTTCCTTTTTCTCCACATCCTCTTCAACACTTGTTATTTGTCTAGTCAATTCTTAATACTGAACATCTAAACTGAATTATCCCCTAAGAGGGATCTATCCCAGGAAAGCCTGATTCCTGAAAAGTAAGATGATCTGCCCTGATAAGGAACAGAGAAGATATAGGCGGGGCCAAAGTTTGTAAACTGGTGTCCTGTGATAAGTTTTATTTAGCCTGTTCAGTTTTTAAAAGTTAAACACCAATGTTTAAAATTTAGGAGAATTCACTTAAAAATCCAGTTTTTCAGTTTCTCTTATCAAAATACGTGGCACCAGGGGACCGACATTCCCAGAAAAAAAAAATAGGTGGGGGCCAAGTAATGGTTACCTCCTCTAATAAAACTTTCTAAAAAAAACTAGGTAAAAATGCACATGCATAAAACTCAAAAGGTACAGAAAGATGTATAGTGAAAACGGTGTCTTTCTTCTATCCCTGAGCCCAGCATCCAGAGGCTACCTCTTTTAGATGGAACAAGTGCTTCCAGATGCCGCCACTTGGCAGCAACCTGGCCCCTTTCCACTCACTTGCATTATCTGCCTGGCCTCTGTAGGCACGGGGTTTGCATCCCAGCCCATTTACAGCACCTCTTCTGCATTCCCGAAGCCCTTGGCATACTATTTGCACTTTCACAGTGACTTCTTTATAGGTCTCCCTTCTAGGCTGGGAGATTCACAGTTCCATGAGGTTAGGGTTTATGTTCTCTTTTTAGTGTCTATATCCTACCACGTAGGTTACTATCAGATAGATAGAGATGTACAGGTTTGAACAAACTGTGTATTATTTTCAGGGCCCTGGCCTGAGGTGTGACTC